TTGTAAGACTGGAGAATTGCTGCAGGCAAAGAACTGGAGTGATTGAATCGCAGAGTTTGAAGACAAGTGCGGCGAGCAAACCTCACTGGCCCTGTTCCTGTGAGGTGTTCACTGGGGAGAAAAAAAAAGTACCATAAAAGTTTCATAGTTGAACAGGCAGCTGTAGGCCATGTATTGTGGCCATTGAGACAAATGGCCCATGACTATGGCCTGGTTACCATGGGTCTGGATGCCTACAAGACATTCAACTGCTTTTGTTGTGTAGCACTGCTGTTTTTGATGGGTGCAGCTGGCAAGATAGAGAGCATGTATGGCTTAGTCAATAAATGACTACTGGTCAAGTGTGTACTGCCTGCTATAGGCCTTGGGCTGAAGCAGGTTGGAAATGGTAGAAAAAAATAAAATGGGGCCCAATGTATCATCAGTGTTTGACCTACGGCACCGGTGACTGCAGATGGGACCCTGGGAAGCACATGGCCATTTTTGTGGTTTAGTTTGAGGAGTGATTTATTGGAAGAAAGGATGCCCACCAGCCTCCATGTAGCCTTTGGAAGGATGATTCACCAAATATGTTATTAATTGAAGAACTAATCTTCCTTGTGGCAAATAGGCTGAGTTTCCTAGTTTGCAAGAGGTTTGTTCCGTGCTAGAACTGGATCATTGGGTGCTAGTTATTTTTTACGGATGTTTAGACTGCTTAATGATCTTTCTAGATGTATACAGGAATTAACTCTTGATTGCTACATGAAATAAATCTTCACTTAGGGACTGGGTCCTTCAGTCAGAACTGCTTTTGAGAATTTAACACACTGCTGCCAGCTGAGACTCCAGTCACTCTCCTTTGGTACAAATCAGAGATGCTCATGCTGGTTGATAAAGAAACCTTAAAGATGGCTGGATATGAATTCTGATGCTCATTGACACAATGTGTAACGTGTTGGTTTGCCACTGAAAACTTCAACAGCTTGTACAGTGTTTATGCTCCTGACTAGCAGAGGAAGCAGCGGGTGTGCCATGGTGAATGTGAGCTGTACTGCTTGGGCCTTCCTCCCCTTTGGGCAGTGAAGGACTGTTCCAAATCAGGTTGTCCCACCTTAAATACCGACTTTGTTACTCTATCTGCATTGCCTGAGGGAGCTGGAAAGCTACACAGTAATTGACTTGCATGCATTAGCCTTGAACTTAGCAAGCGGGGTTTCTAAACCAAGGCTTGTTTACTTCAGTCTGTGCAAGGGGAGTGAAGAGGGAAGGGCTTCTATGCACAAGGAAGGAAAGTGGGGGGGCGAAATCTATGTTGTAAAACACCACAAAAGCAGCTTGGATGTTATTGTAGTCAAGCTGCTGCTCTGGAATAACAGTGCTGTTCTCCTTGGGTGTTTACAAACACGCACCTCAAGCTTTTAAGGATGTGAGGACTTAGGCAAGCCTAAGAAGAGGTCAGTCAGTCACATTCCTTAATTTGAATGTATGAGGAGTCACCTATACCCTCTTTCTGCAGCCGACCCCATAAGGGCAACACTGAAATAACCCCACAGGAGAAAGTTACCATTGATAACACTGATGCAAGACATGTAGCACGTTCTTAGACGAAATTTGGAGAAGCTCCTCTCCAGTTCTTGCTGGGCGTTGTCAAAACATCATTCTATGGAAGGTCAAATTGTTTGTAACTGTGTGTTCCCCAACCAAAGGTCGTCATATGGATAAAGCATTAAGGAATAATGAGACTAAGTTAAAAGAACAGTTTCCAGACATGAATCTGAATGTCATTGTTGTATGATGTTTACATCAGAACTTCTGATGATGGAAAAACTGATTCTACCTTTTTGTTCGATTCAAAATCCCTCTGAATTCCAACATGCTGGCTACATTCCAGCACACAGAGGTAATTGCTTCTTGCTAAACTACACCCCTCCCTAAATTTTATTCAGGGAACTTAGTGTAACTACTGCCTTCCGCTCACACAAGTGGCTGCATACTGCTGTTGATCCAAACTCTTGGCATTATCTGCAGTGGAGAACTTCATTTTAATGGAGCCCACTTATTATCCCTTACACCATGTAGGTTCAGATATTTTTATTAAAAAAAATAAAATCCTTCCCAATAAGAGGGAAGACAAAGTACACTTCCTATCAAGATACAATGGATTTTTTTTTTATCTGAGGATGGGAAGAGAGAGATATGAGAACATCAGAAGAGTGATACCTGTGTATTCATGTGATACAATCCACCACCCACACCCAATAGCAAATGAATAGGTTCCTCTGTGTAATTTCCTGGGGAAACCTGATTCAGTGACTGAGAAATGCTCCAAAGAAAAGAACTGCTACTGATATACGATGTTTTTCAGGAGCATGGTTCCACAAACTAGCAAAGAGAACATTCCCAAGGTGGTGAAAAGCCCACGTAGCTGGGGTTACCCAAATAGTCATGACCCCAAATAAGAAAAAGATGAGGGGAGTGATGGCAGCAGCAGCTGCTGTCTTAGAGAAAGAAATGGAGAAATACGTTGCTTTTGATGGCCATACTGAAGACTTCTAATTTTTATATGGAGAAACTCAGGATGCTTATGTTTCCTCTCATTTCCTGGAGCACTTAATAACAGTGAAATATGCTGCATGAACTTGTCTGAATACGGAACTGTATGTAAACTGCCTCTCTGGAAACAGAGCCTTTCAAGTTGCTGTCTTGATCCCTCCTGTAAGAATTGTTCCTTCTCCTGCATTGCTGTTGAATCACAAAGCAATCATCTAGTCACTGTTTGTCACTAAAATGCTTTCACTGGTTTTCCCCTTCAACAACACCGGGGAAGTTCCGCCCTGACAGTGCAAGTGGCTTTGAGTACATGTTGAAAGAGCAGTGCTGCAGTTTCATTCTGTGTGCTTGACCTGTCCTGGCTGTTGTTTGTTCTCTTCTAACTGCTGTGTCTGTGTCCCAGCAGAGATGCAAAGAGCAGAGGCAGGAGCAGGGGCACCTGAGGTAGTGCTAATGTGGTGGTGTGGGGCTTACTGCTGCTACAAGCAAGAGAATCTTTCCATTTTCTGTTTAATGGCAGAATTTTCAAGAGGGCTAAAACACAGTCAATACAATGAAAAATGTTTATTCCAAGTGTTTTCAACCACTGAGGCTAGTGGTGCCCAGTAAAGCACAGAAAGGCTTGTGCCCTGAAAGCCATCTGATACATGGGATGGATTTTTGGCCTTCTGGACACCTTGCTGGTGTACACTAGAAAAAGACTGAAAGATCTCACCCTCTCCTGTCTCCCAAAAGAACAACTCAGCTCCTGCTTCTTACATGTTTAATTTCAGCACAACACAATCAGTATAATGCTCTGTTTGAGTGGTTACTAGAAAACCAGCTGGGACTGGTCTGAAGTCTTTCAGCTGTTCCTTGTCCCTCTATCTGAATAGATGCAAATCCCACAGAAAAACTTGGACTAGTGCTTCCAGATATGCATGCTGTAATAACAGCTGGCCACTGTGTAGTTGAAATGGATTGAGAAAATTGAGTGAAACTGGCAGACTAAATCTGTTTGTTTGCTTCTTGCTCTCCACCCTATGATTTCCACCCTCTCATCCTGTACAAACATTGAACAGAGACTTTGCCAATCAGTACTGCTCATGCTCTTTTTCCCCAGGACTATCTCACCTGCGCTCTCATATTCAGCGCACCTCAGTGTCCTAAACTGGGGATAACGACCACTGTAATAAACATGTCAAGAAAGAGTCATGAAGACAGAAGAAAAACGAGAGCCAGCAAGATCTGTTTGTCATCTTGGTGTTGATCCTAGGTCTTGATGAATCTGCAGCATTTTCATCTGTGACTAGCAGAAGGAAACTGTTTCACTGTATTTCTGTTCCTACTGAAGTACTGGAATGTCACCCCTCCACCTCTGAACAGGATGAATCTTGGGTATGATTCTACTAGCTTCAGCGAGTGCAGCGCACAGCTGCAATCAGACTGCCAGAAAAGAGAGACTGCTACAGATGTTAGCCAGTCATTCAGCAGTGCACGAGTCCAGCACGGCAGATCTGCACGTGAACGTTTGGGAATTCTGTTGTTGTATATAGCTGCAAAGACAAAACTGATTTCTATGTTTAAGTTTGCCATGTAAAGAAATAGACAGATCTAGCCTTTCTTTTTAATAATGTTTTAGGACCAGGGTACAAAAAAGGTTAATGCATTCATTTTTAAGACAAGTGATAAATGTAATGCAATAAGCACATCCTACATACACAATATATTTCTCTATATAATATGAACACAGATATAAAATAAGTTATACTTGTCTTGGTTTTTTTATCACAGTAGGAACTCAGCTTATATAAAGTGACAACAGGAATTGGAACAAAATGCTGCGTTAAAGCAACAACAAAAACCAAAAGAGTGCATGTGTGAGTGACTGTGTGTGGGGGGGGGAGGGATAAAACAGGAAATTGAAGGATTTCTGTCAAAATCAAGTCTTGAAAACAGAAATTTTATGAAGTATTAAAAAAAGGAAGGTCTCTAGACTCAGGGTAGAGGTTCTGGAGGGCTCTGAGTATTACTGTGTGGTGAGGAGGAGGGTAGGTGAAGGCTGTCAATATCTAGGTTATATTTGTGGGGGCAGAGACAGCGGAACAAGCTCTGCTCTGTGTTCTCTGCTCTTTCGATAGACCATCTATGTGACAGTGCTGCATTCTTGGCTTTACAAGAATGGGACCTAGTAACTTTCACTGCACACAATGACAGTAAACGTATCGCTTCACACCAATGATGAATACCACCACTGCTTAAAGGTGTTTGAAAGAGAACTTCTGAAATGACCAGAGAGCCTGGGTGTTCTTCCTTTCCAGCCCACCTAAAGTCTGCCTCTAGTGCCCCTTCCTTCTGTTTCCTTTGGGACGGTTGTTTCCTTGGCCATACTTGGGAAAACTGACCTCCCCGAGAGAATGAATAGGAGGCAGAGGTGCTTGGGAATTCTTAGTGCCTATTCCACAGTCAATAATGAGGAACTCCAGATGCACAGTTCAGAGCTGTTTCTTTTTTTTTATTGTCATTTTAAGGACTTGCATCTAACAATGAACCAGATTCCTAAAACTTTTTAACCGAGGGACTTAGAATTTGGTATTTCTTATTATTAGGAGGTATTCCTTAATTTGGTCGACAGCTTGGAGATCTTTCTTCTTCACTGTCAAGGATCTCAGCCTCCTGAGGTTTGCAAAACCAGTAAAGACCACAATGTGTGGCCAAAGCTCAGGAGTGGCACCAGTAGCTAGCAGGTTTCTATTAGTGCTTTCTCTGAGAAGATGCAGCCCTCTTGAGTTTTCCTTCTATTTTTGCTACTCAATTTCTTCTAATCTCAAGATCCTTTCTTTACCTCCATGTTTACACACTACACATTAGAAATCGGGGACATTACACTGGAAGAATTAATTGCATATTATCATGAAGATTTGGACTTCTGCTCTGCTTTAGTTTTTTTTCTTCATACAGCAGAATAGGTATACATTGAAAGGCAATCTCACATCTAAAGGTATAATTTAAGTAAACATTTCTCTAGATCTTTCTCCCCTCCATTTCCCTGTCCCCTGTAACCTTCCTTTCATTCTGTTATTTTCCTTTTGGATGGAGGGAGGAGATGGGAAGGGAGCTCGTTTGGCAGCTCGTGACCCTCCAACTTGACTTTAATGAGATGATTTGCCAAGGCAAACTCCTCATCATCCAGCATGCCATCTTTGTCGATGTCAGCCAGTTTCCAGATCTTGCCCAGCACTGTGTTAGGCAACTTAGACCTTACCATCTCCTTCTTTGCATTGGCACCAGTTATTTTACCATCGACAGGTGACAGTGTGTAGAAGATCTCATCATACATGGGCTTGTCTCTGGCCACCACCCACTCAGCATCATCGATCCCTTCGCCAGCGCCTTCACCATAGCCGTGGCCAAATGGACCATGCAGGGTGCCCTCAAAGGCTCCTCCCTTCACCATCTGGGTAGGCCGCTGTGATTCCTCCTGGCGTACAAGCACCATGAGCTGGGCGATGTCATTAGCCAGCATGTCTTCCACAGTCTCCAGCAGCTTGCTCTTCAGAGGCTGGAACTTGCTAAAATCCTGGGCCTGCAACTGATCCTTAAAGCAGGACAATGGAGCAAGAGGTGAGTGACATGGCTGTGCTCAGGGCAGTAACAGTGCAGAGTCCGCTCCCTATCTGCAGTCTGGCTCAAAAACTCCTCGTGTAGAGGAAGAGCAGGAAGAACAGCACTCTCTCCTCCAACAGTCCTGCTCCTTGGCAGGGCTTCCCTGGCTGGTCGTGCTCTTACATCCTTTTTAAGCCCTGCAGAGAATAGTCTTCCTAGCTAACAGAGGGGCTGATATGGTACAGAGAAGACTGGGGTTTTACCCAAAGGCATAGATGATGGCAGTAAGAATGTAAAATAAGACTTCCTTTCCAAACTAAGTTGAAGTCCTCTGCTTGAGGACCAAATTGTTCAGGGCAAACTGTCTGTGCAGTTCTTGCTATGTCTTCTAGTTGGTGCTCTGCATTCCCTCTCCTTCTGCACTCTGGTAAGGAGTTGTGACTTTGGCAAAAGACTATTTCACTGATAAATCCTTTGTTATCACACTGTGCATCTCTCAGATGCCATAAAGATGCTAGATCTTCACAGCATAGCTCAATTTTGGTAATTTTCACAGCTAAGCAAAAGTGATTTGACCAGGGACTGCAGAAATCTCATACAAATGAAAAACAACATACAGCTTTATCTTTTACCTGCTACTCATTAAATCCAATGTATTCACTCCTACTGGAGTGGCATAGCTATTCTTGAACATTTAATTGCATACTTGAACAAGCAGTGAATGGGACCTTCTATTGGGTATACTCTATAGATCTCATTCTCAAGAACTTACGGAAAATACCCTGTTCTACTAAAAAGATGAACAGCTGCTGTGTCTTCCACAGGGAGCCAGTAATGACTTCAACAGCTAGTAACTGTGAAGAGGCTTCTGCTTGGATTGAAGCCACACACCAACATAGCCATGCCCTGCATTGTTCAATTATACAATACAAGGCTCTGATCCAAGGTCCTTCAAGTCTTTGACTTGGATGAACACTGGGTCAGGTCTTAGCTCTACAGCTCAGCAAGCTTGCTTCATTGCTTAAAACAGATAAGGGGCTTTAAGTTTTTACTGCTTCCTTCTGGTTCTTGCTAGAACCAGAGTGAAGTAGAGGAAAAAAAAATACAGCTCCTGAGGTATATGTAGGCTTTCTGGGAGATGTACCTTTCTTTTCAGTATAGATTAACACTATTCTTGGGCCTGGAGAATCTAAAAATGGAACACGGAATTAAAAACTGACAACATAGGATTTCATTCATTTTCTTAAGGGCTACTTAGGCAAAGACTTCAGAAACTAAGGTAGCAGTAGCTTCTTGTGAGCTTGATGTGCAAAAAGTGTTTACATTCTTTAACAGTTTACACACAGTTTAAGGTTTGCTTCAAGACTGCAACAGGGCTTTTGCATAGGCAACAATAATCAAGGTCTGCATTGTGGCTTCTGTCCTATTTCCTGCAGTTACTCTAACACTTTTTCCTTGTGTGTCTGATACTTGGGACAAGATGCCACTACTTACCTGCATCTTTCTCAGATTAGGGAAGTCTCCTGGTGAGATCTGATGCTCTCGTTCAATGCGGGCATAAATCTCTCCCAAGTTGTTAATAAGCTCTTTTTTTTTATTGTCTTTCCCAAACACTGAAGGCATTTCCTTCTTTAAGGAACTGATGATGTAGGCATGGACCTGAAAGGCATTAAGTGACACAGAATGTAGGATATACTAAAGAATGCACCACAAATTTTCTTTCCCTGTAGACAGCGTGTGTGCCTAGGAGTCAACTCACATCACCCCCTCCTGAAGAAGTTTAGCTCCTCAGTTTGCATCTATCTGCTGTTTATCACTCCAGAGCTGAGAGCTATGCAGAGACAAGGTGAGGGCAGTGTAGGAGCCTTGGGTATGCAGAGTAATACAGCCACTTTCTAGGGATGTGTTTTTCTTCTTCTGCGCAGGCCTTTCAGAAAATAGCCACTTCCCAGTCCAAACTAAACATACAGGTTTTGAAGCTTTCTAGACTCTGTTTAATCTTTTACCATGAATGAGTCTTTGACTTGCACGACACTATGATATCGTGTACTTTGTATGTGAGGAATGTACAGACCTAGAACAACGATTTTCATAAAACTAAGTTTGTGTAATGTTTCTTGTTGGCACTGGTCATTCCAGAAGGCAGAATTCCACTTTCCCCAACAGAAGTGATTAATGGCAGTGAATTTTAAATGAAATATTCTTGCTTTTTTTTTTTTTTTTTAATGGTGTAAGAAGTTTTTTCCCTCACAGTATTCCGAACAACTTCATTCAGCTTCTTTTAAATAATAAGAGATGGAACTTCTGGCAGTGCCCGTAAGTTATTTTTCCCATGCTTGTGGCAGGCTTATCTGCCATTCTTGTCAGTCTCCACCTCTTCCGCATCCATCTAAGGCAGATTTATCTCCTTAAGGCAAAAGACTCCTACTTTCCTTGGTGTGTGATTCTGACATATTGTATTTGTCTGAATTCTCAGTTTGCTAGCAGTAGCTGCTTTCCACATTTCCCCAAGAGCTACTTTCTTTGACCTGTGGCAACTCTTCACTCAGGCCTGTTACGACTGATGCACCAAGCAGAGGCAGTAGGCTCTTCCTCAAAGTGCATAGGACAAATACGCTAGGCCTCTGAGTGAAATGAGAAAAGGGGAAACAAAAGAGGCAGGATCCACCAGCTACGTGAGCTAGACCAGCCAAAACCACTTCCCCATTACTGTGCATACTGTGGGTGGCCCAAACTAAATGCCTGGGCTCCTTTATGCCAACACTCACCTTGGCCAGCCGTGCCCGCTTGATAAGATCGTTCAGCTTCCTTAGGGCTGCGTTGCGGGGGAGGCTCTGGATATCCCTGAACAGGTCCTGCTCCTCTGCCTCAAACAACTTGCGGTTATCAGGGATGAGCAACGGATGGGACCAGAAGGAGCCAATATAGACTCTGATGACCTCCGGTGTGTTGACAATCTTTCCCAGGGACCACATGAGAGCACCGTACACCCTCATCAGTTGCTGGGTCTCTATCTGGTCAGCTTTGTTGAGAACAACTCTCATCTTGTCCTCGTGGTTCTTCAGGGCCTTGATGACCTCTGAGAATTCATCAGAGATGTCCAGCTTGTGCGCATCAAAAAGGAGAATGATGCGGTCAACCCGCTCTGCAAACCACTCCAACACAGCAGCAAAGTCATAACCTGCAAGGGATGGAAGAAGACTAGAGATGTACAAGCAAGCCTGGCTATTGTTTCTATTTCCTATTCAGAGTCAAAAAAGTTGCCCTACCCAACAGGAAAAGGGAATTAATACCTGCTGGGATCTTGGTACATTGCTGCTATGGTGATTAGAACATCCCTGTGGATTTCATTACATCTACAGATAGATTAGCAGTGTCTGTCTTTCTCAGCTTCTTTGTGTGTTGGGAGAGAATCTACTGACAGCTGTCCTTCACCAAAGAGAAAACAAAGCCCTGGAATAACACTTGGTGATGTCTTCAGAGCAACAACATGGGCTGGATTACATCCTGTGCTGAGACAAAACCCTGATCCACATGCTCCTCTCACATGCCACGCTCACTGGGACTATTAGGTGAATGTGTGAGACCTTTCCTGTATGTGCTGAGACATATTTCTCTGCGTGCAGTTCTACCAAGTGCTGATTACATCTGTCCTTACTTTCCTGTATGGAAGTAGCAGGAAAACTAAGGTTTATGTTTTTAAGTGACAGAATTATTTAGAGGAGAAGAGGAAAAACACTGAGTGTGATTTCCCTTCACGTACAGTGTGACATGTGGAAAGGGCACGTGGGACAGACCTCTGTTGACAGCCGTTGACTTGGAGTCACTGACAGAGCTCTGTGATGGTGTTTTCCCACACACATGCCCAAAGAATTCCCACGCAGAAAATTCACAAGGTTGACTTTTTAGTTTTGCTTTTAGCATATGAAAGAGTAGATTACTATTAAAGCATTTGAATAGCAGGGCAACAGGGTACAGAACTTTTAAGGGAAAGCTATTAGCGTAGATATTAAAAAAAAAATAAGATGAAATTAATATTTAAACGTTTAGTTCAGAGCTCATTTTTAGAGGACTTTTCTATAGTGTAGAGAACTCGGGATGTTTTGTCTAACTTCAGCCAGAGCTGGAGGTGTTCCACACCTGAAAACATACAAAGTTTATTCTATAATTAAATTCAGCCTTAATTCAACATTCTTTTTACCTGGTTTTTATCTCACAGGTTCTTCTGCCACTTTATTTCTATGTAAGATTACATCAAAAACTGATCTTGACCTACTCTCAAATTAGGTGTTCTGGGTCTGAAGTGTCCTCCTCGCTCATTCCACGGTAATGTGTTGTTTCTTCACACCCTATCTTAGTGTTGTGGAGGGTTGCTAAGGGCTCTCACAAAAGCAGCCAGATTTGGCAGTGTTTCACTGATGAGTGCAGCTATCCACATATTGTAGCACAGTTTACTGTAAAGCTACAGAGCATTTGCAAAGCCATCTGCCAAAAGCTGAATACAAGTAAAACCATTATTACAGAGATGTTCAGACAAATGTGAAGGGGAACATTTTCTCTCCAGTGATTCCTGGCTGTGTTTCTATTGAAAAATATGCATATTTTAAACAGTTTGCTATTACTGATGTAGATTCTTTCACAACTTCCAGATAAGGTTGTGAAAGAAGAACAGATCAGAACATGGACAGAAAATGAATCTCAACTATACAGCGCTCTAAGAAAATAGGCAAGATGAATACGATAAACATTTCCTTCTGTTAGACTATTTTTTTTTCATGGGGACAGATTTTTTTCTGATAGCATGAAAAGCATTTGACAGATGTAACACAAAGCTGACAAGCTAGCAGGGTTGTCAGTAAATGGAGGAAATGATCTTCTTGCAAACATCTCGTCATCCAGTCTCCCTAAGGCGGGCTGTGGCTTAATGAGTAGCTATCCGTGAGCTCCCAGTATACCTGGCAGCACATATTTAGTTAAGATATGGCAGGATTATGCAATTACTTTATGTCAAGCCAGACCAAGAATGACACAATATTTATGCTGACTGTGGGAAGATAGATGATACCTTACACAGCATAAAATCTGCCTGACTGTAATGTCTTTAAGCCAGTGAGGGTGCATGCAGTGGCTCAGCATTTCTCACCATCTAGCTATACCGGTTGTTTTTTGTTCCCAGGTTGTTTGCTTCTGCCTGATAAGTGAGCACATTCTACTGGATTTCTCATGTTGGGGAACTATGGCCACAGACCCTGTGCTTGCAATGGGGTAGGACACAAAGCTCCTGCTTTATAGCAGTTATCTTACAGCTTGCTGTTAGAAACGTTTTAGACTGGGCAGCTGCTTTTTGTTCTTCACCTCCTTCTTGCTCAGTTTTAGCCACTGGGAGCTCTCTTCACACCATCCTGTTAATAATCTACAGAACAAAAACCTACCAGGATCACAGTCCATCCCTTTCTGTCAACCGACAGGTTGGCATTGTGTGTCAAGTGCCTGAAGACACCATCAGCAGAAGACAAGGTAGCTAGAAACAGCAAACACTGACTACCTAGAGAGGGAGCAGCTCTGGCAGATGAGTGCCTATTCCAGACAGATGATTACTTAATCTGTATTTTTAAAGTGAAAAAGAGAGTTTGAAGGCTAATTCTAAAGGAGTGACAGGAATGCCCTTCTGAAAGCACTTCAGGGAAGATCCCAAAAAGGCTAAACGAGCAGGTATCTACACTAGAGAAGAACGTAGCAGGAGGGAGGGACAGGTACCACCTGAGTCTGGCAAATGGCTGTAAAGGAAGGAAAAGTAACATGGAAATATTACACAGGTTTTGGAAACTTAAAAGTTTCCAAAGCACAGGTAAAGGGAGTTGAGTAACTCTACAGAAAATCTGCATAGTGTTCTCAGCTAGGAAAGACAGGCTGGTGTCAGATTTGTAATGCTAACATAGACGTGAATGAGTACCTGGAGAGGCACACCATGGCCTTTTGCTTTTATGCTGTTTAGTGCAATGGTTTCATGGTTGGGAAGAGACTGGGAGCCTGACAGAGTTCTTACTTCACGTCACTGGAAACAAAGAGAGATCTCCCTAGACAAGTTCAGTTCAGGTGAAGTAAAACAGATGAAAGTATTGTCCAGAGCCAAGTCTCCTTACAAAAGCCTGTTCAGCTTCTACTTACACACAGTGGAGTTTTTCCTTTCTACTTGTTACATGTTTATATCTTTGTCATTTGTGACAGATGGACCAAGTATTTCCTGGTATCTTGGCCAATCCTCAAAACAGTCCATAGTCAGACTTAAACTTCATAGTCCATAGTCAGACAGAAACTTCAGAAGGTATCTGAATCCATTCTTTTAGAGCAGTGCTGATGCACAGACAGAAGTACAGGAATAAATTAATTCCATCCCTCTTCCCTAAAAACAAACAAAAAACTCATAAACTTGATCTTTGTTTTTATTTTTTTAGTTTGCATTCTGCTTTCAAGTCGGAAGAGTTAGCCAGGCTCATGACATCAAATATTTCTACAAATAAAAGGGGCTTAAATTGTGCAGGTTCTCTGCTCTTTTGCCTTGTCCTTAGAGGAAGCTGGCAGAGTGGCTATTGCACTGCAGTAATGGTAGTGAAATGGGAAGTCACGATTAACTGTTGCCCTTCGGACCTCTCAGGTGGAGTGAAATGCAAAATGCAAGCAAACATAATTGCAGGAAACTGTTACAGCAAGTGTACAAAACGTCTCCTTTTTAGATGCTTAGAGGTTGTGTCATATTGTCAAAACGTGACAAAACTCTTTGGAAAAAGATGTTTTCTTACTGCTTTTGTACCCTAAACATTTAATGAAGGGGGGAATATTGATTCTCTTGGTATTTGCCTTTCTCTTCCAAATATAGCTGTTTGAAATTCAGTCAGAGCTCTGGAATTGCCTAAGACTGATACCTCCTATCATTTTTTCTTTCACTTTCAGGAGTAACTATCAATTTGAAGTACTGAAGCTTCTGGTCACTGGTCCTTGCTTCTCCTTCCCTTCCTAGAATAGCAAGCAGGGCTAGCATGTTTTTCCCTTGACTGGGGAAGCCTGGGCTGCACTGCAGCCAGCTGAATAGAACAGGGTGGAAGACTGGAATAGTGTGTCTGGAAAGAAAGCTGATGGGGAATGATACTGCCAATCCTCATCTCCTTGCTATGACCTTGTGTTCACTGCTAAAGAGGAAAGGGAGGAGGTGACATACATCGGATGAAGATGAAGCAAGTGCTCAGCATGTATTCAGGAAGCATGACCCTGAAATAGGGGTCAAATGCTACTTGGCTATAGCATTGCTGAACTTGGCAGATTTGGATTTGCTTAGGTCTGTGCGCGTGTAGGTTGAGACTGATAGCTAGTGGAGTGTGTAAGGCTCATTGTCCAGGGATGCACTGCTACTGAAGTGCATGAGTTGCTGCTAGGTGGTAAAAGCAGACTACACCAAATGATAAATTGTGAGTAAGTCCTAGTTTCTATCTTGGCTCTCCTTTACTACATAACTTGATCTGTGATACTCCCCTTTGTCCCTGTTTATTTCACTACAGTTCCACCTTTTCTCATCTTCCCCTGTTGCAGATGCTGGACTGTCATGTGACACATGTGCAGTGCTTTGCAAATGGATAGCATCCATATTGATATCAAACTGTCAAAGCAGCTGACACTGTGCTGCTTTGGTACAAATACAGCAGTCTGTTGCTGTATGATGCATAGCTGGAGACAATAAAAACTAATAAATGTGAAAGAAAAAAAAAAGATGCAGAGTGAGGGATGGAGCAGTGTGATGAGTAATTCCTCATACATGACAGTTAGGAAAAAGACCAGAGGAGAAATGGCTGTTTTCCAAGTAAGAACAGTAGAGAAAATAGTGGGCAGGATGCTTTGGGAATACTTCTCACCAGCCTCTTAAATGAAACCCGTATATCTGGGCACCTAGTTACCACATACCTGTGAAACCACCTGCCATGGAGGAGTCCACAAGTCAAAATTGTTCAGTCTGACAGACCAGTGCAGACTATAATTACTATTTTATTTATTTTTAACTAGAGTCTAAATGTAGCAGCAGCTGTACCAAGTGCTGCTGATTTCACTGCATGCCTAGGGGATGTGGACTTCAGATATGACAGACTACATCAACCTTTCCTGCTTGACAGGCCTACTTCACCAGGCACTGAATTTAAGAATTCAGACAGATGAGAAGCTTCAGAACCTGGTCTTGGGCCTCTGAATCATTCCTCAAAAGGCAGTTTCCTTGCTTCTGGTCCCTTAAGTATAACAGTGCACATGATGAGCCCTGATGGATTGCTAAGCTGGCACTGGCAGAGCTACCCTGTTTCAGCAGTTAAAAGAACTGGAAATTCTCTGGGGAAACCTCTCCCAGCTTTTGCTTCATTCCCAAGTGAAAGCTGAGCAGGCTGGAAAAGTACAGAAACACAGAAGTATTTTGTTGTATAAGCAGTTTTGGCACTGTCATGTTTTTTTGCCTAGAAACTGCATCGTTGCTCTGTCTCCCTCCAAAACCAACCTGCTAATCATGGCAGCTGGCTTGTGAGCTTGGTAGCAAAGGCACCCAGCCTCACCACTTTTTCCTATTTCTCTGCCATGAGAGCCAGGAGGTGAGCATTCCCTTTCAAACATTGGCTTCCCACAAGCCAATGCCTAGCAGCAGCCCTTCTTAAACATAAGCACTTCAGCCCTCTTCTGACTCTTCTTGCTCCCTGGGCTGGGTACCCTGCAGACAGAAATCACTGAAGCTCTTCCAACATCAACAAAGCTCTGCTGATCTAAACTGGATGAGGTGCTTGTCCTGTAGCTGTTGACAAGCAAACTGGTGTGGCTCATGTGATCAGCTGTCCTGGGTCTACGTGACTATGTAGTGAGATCCCAAACAATCTGTACTTTCGGTTTCTCCCAGATGTTTGGGGAGGTGTTTGCTGGCTTGGGGCAAAGTGCATCAGTGACTTTCCTAACAGCACTGCATTGTGTGCTCTGGCACTGTTGGCATATAATCCAACTATACGATTGGGACACCAAGTCCACTGGGAGGCTGATGGAGAAAAACTGCAAAAAAAGGAGCAAGAAGTGCCAGTACATTTTGCAGAAGAGTATTTTTAGTAACAGAAAGAGATCTTGCAATATATGTCAGGACTTGAAGTGATGAGGAGAGGGATATGGGAAAGTTTTTTTGTGCCTTAAAAAGGTTCAATTTTAACTCATATTTTATTATTGTTTTTAAAGAACAAAAACGTTTTATCCTAAGCAAAGTTCATCACAATGATTGTTCCAGAAGAGAACTGAGTACTTTTAGTGTTGTTTTGTTGTTGTTGTTGTTTTTTTTTTTGGCTGAAAAACGTTTACATAATTTAAGCTTTTATTTAACTCTCACTCTACAGAGCACTTTCTGCTGAAGGGAGGAACGCTGGCACAGCATGTTTTTTTACCTGATGAAGGTGTGTGCATTTTGCTATCCTTTGTAGACTGCTTGGAAGGAATTCGTGGGGTCATCCTGAAATACTAGGAAGCTCACTAAGAGACTTTGTGTATTCATCAGATCTATTTAATATCTAGATATGCTGAAAAATTGTGGATGTCTGTGTTTCTCACACCTCATCCAGTCCAGCCGAGATCTGGGAAGCCTGGAAGCAATTGTTTGTGCAATACAGACAGAAGGTTGACTGACACTTTCTGATGGAAATCTGCTCTGCTGGGGAATACTGGACTGATACAGACATTACTGACACTGTCAGCAACCTTCCCCAATAGTATTCAAATTCTCTTTAGCAAATAGCAAATCAAACTGAAGGGGCATGAGTAGTTGTGCAGCATCTCTGAGAGGCCCCTGCTAGTCTTTCTGTCCAGAATGTGTACAGCTTGAGAGGAAACTCATACAATCCATTTGGTTTTAATTATTATCATTTGGAAGAGAACTGAATCTGGCACTTACCTCTGCTAATTCTCTGCTTTTCTCCAGAAAGGATTCCTGGTGTATCAATGACACTGATGCTCTCTAATACAGGATTAGGTAGCTGGGCACATACAAACCTGTGCAAAAATAAATGTTTAAAATAAAACTGAAAGATTCTTGTGATGCATTGAACATTAAAGGCAGCATGGGAAAGCGAGGGCTCTGATCTCCCTTAAAACGAGTTTTCAGATGAGGTTTGGAGCTACTCCTCATTTAAAGAAATGAAAAAGTGGCCAGAATTGAGCACTTTCTCTGGTATGGTTTTTTCAGAACACGAGGTTCAGTTATGATCTATGATGTGGGTCATTTTTTTTTGTGGCTCCTATATTGTGAATTATTAATGAAAAACAATATAGAAATCCAAGTGTTTTTATTTGCCATTCAGATTTTAGTGAGAAGTGGTATTTCTTTTTTGTCATTTGAGCATTCCCCTGCAGGGACCTGAACTCAAGTAAATTGAAATAACTTCAGTAAATCGACAACGTTGTAAGCTTTTTTATCTATTTTTACATCTAGTCTTAAACAGAAAGTGTACTATCTGTGCTGTTCTCCCACCATGGAAATCCTAAGTCTGAGCAACATGAGCTCTTAAGAATTGACTTAGTCTATCCTCCTGCCTTAAGGCAGGAACAATCAGATGTTTATCTGAAGTGTTCTTCAAACCTATAAGGATGTACATTCAACATTCTCAGAATTTTGCTGAGAGTCTACTTATTCTTGAAGCAAAAACTTTTTCCTAATGTCTTATCTAAATCTCCCGTGCTACAATGCTTTTTAGTCTAAAACACAGTAGACATGGAAAATGGTTTATGTTCTCTCAGTTCTGAGAAAAGACCCTCTGCTGTCATTGTATCTCGGTGTTTCCTCTAGAGAAAGCTACATTTTTTAAAGTATCTTTCATTCTTTCCAGCTGCTGTTCTAGTTCATTTTCTAAGTTACCAAAGACCTTTGCAGTTTTCCTTTCAATTCCTCTCAAATTGTTCTACGTATTTCTCAAGGGATAATGCCCCAAAATGATGTGGTTTTCCAGCCACAACCTTGTCAGTGATGAACAGAGTGGATGGATGCGTACCTTACACGTGACAGTACTGTTTATATCCCTAAGGAAGAAGTTTGCTTTTTTCCTAGCAATGTGACGCTGCTGATTGACACCAGGTTTCTAATTCATTCACTCCACTCCCCTCCACAGCTTAATTTCTGTGTAATTCCTCTGCACTTAGTTTTCACTGTCTACACAAATCGCTAGCTCACAAGAGTACCTTGTGCCTGTTCTCAGAAGGATGGAGAACTTCAGTTTCAGTTGCTGATAACAGCAAAGCACAGCAAAATCCTACCTGTTTACACAGTTCATGGTTGCATTTCATGGATAGTCTTTTTCTGACGGTATTCCAGGCAGCTTTAAATGTGTGCCTACGTGTGTGTATTAATAGGGTGGTAAGATGTTGATGCATTAAAAAAATGTTACTGTGGGAAGAAGCAGAAGCACATAAAGGACTGAGCTGCCACAAAGGCCACTGCATGCAGTGAAGGCAGACAGAGCCTCTGATGAATAGCTGATTCTGATGAAGTCCCACAGCTACGAACTCCTGCAGACTATGCTACAGCCTTATTCTTTTTTTTTTTTTCTTCTGATGAGTAAATTATTATGGGTTAGATAAGCATCTTCATGCCTAAGCTGTCAGGTATTTCAGCCCAATATTTCTGCCTCTTTCCTCTGTCCGCAGCCTGGTAGGTGGCAACAGAAGCATTTTTGAATGAATGCATAACGCCTCATGCAGAAGAGGGCAGCTAGCTTGGCTCTCCTGATGTGTGCCAGGCATAGCAGCAGAGAACAAATGCTCAGGAGGTCATGTTATTCCCTTTTCTGCCAGCCCAGGTTTGTTCTCCATTGTTACGGCCCTAAGCATTTCTTGCAGCCCTAAGCATTTCTGACATTTAAATGGCTCAGGCAAGGGGATTTTCCATCAGTTTCTCCAAGGAAAGTACTCCACAGGAAATTTTAGATAGAAGGTTAGGGGACAACATGAATAAGTGCTTTCTGGCTCTGTGGCAAGGTTGTTAAGGATGCTGCCTTCCTGTTGTCCCAGCAGAACTGCAGTACCTCAGGGAACACTATTTAGTTCTGTCCTGAACCACACAAAGGAAAGAGCGTGATGCCAAACCAGACTTTTACTACCCTTAAGGGTAGAGCATGGCTTTAAAAATGGAACCTACTATTCATGATGTCTTCTGTTGATAACAAAAAGGCACCTCTATCTTAAGCTTCCCAAGACAGATCTGAGGGGGTAGGAGGAATCTTGCAATCATCGATCAAGCCAAAGTGATACGAAAGTAATGGCTGAGATTCTTGATTTTATGCCAGGCACTTGGTGCCAAATAAGCCCTCTGAGGTGCTGCCTGTAATCTCTCTGCTGGGATCCCTCCAAAGCTGGGGTACTGCCAGCAGAGCTGGAGAGAGGAAAACAAGCCCCACACTTGATACTCAAGAAGTACCTGGTACAAGGAGACTGGGAAAAGAGACAAGTTCTGAGCAGAGTACTGCAGAGCTGCCTTCTCCTTTCAGCCCAGGGCAGCTTGTCAACCCCACCTCCAGCCTTAACCAGGAAGGTATGCATAGGCACTCCATCTCTTGGAAATGGAGAAAGGAGAGAGGCTCTGAGCAGCAAAATTAGTTGTTTCCTAGACAAATCCTGACTCTTTCCTTGCTTCCTGGAAGGTAGCAGACCCCAGTCTCTACTGAGAAGGGTGCACCAGCTGAGGCAGGATGCTTATTACTTTTGCACCCCTATTTAACTCTCCAGGAGCAGCAAGGCTCTGCACCACACTGGACGCAGTGCTGCAGACTGCCACCTCTCATATGAGATGAGCATGGTCAGTGCAAACACTGCTGCCTTGTGCTGCTCTGTTGCTTTCCACTGGTTTTCTTGCCCAGAGGTAAAACGACCTGCCCATTGTTGCTCTCTCACCTCAGTTCAGAAGAGTGGCTGCTTCCCATCTCTAAATTTTCAGCTCACAACTTCCTACCTGAGGGCAGTGCCTTAGCACTCACACAGCAGCACCAAGGCAGAGACATCTTTGCACTGTCTCTTGTACAGAAGATGGGTCTACAATATGAATAAGCATGGGTGATTTGATTAAGCTCAGTGGCTGTAAGCTTACATCAGCTACATTTCCAGCCCTCTCTGAGTTACTCCTTGGTTAAGCTCAGTTTCCTAACTGACTGGACATTACCATCTGCATCTTCAGCACTGTGATGCTCATACTGTTGAGCCATTCCCTTCAGTGTGTCATCTTCTGCCAGCCCAGAAATCTTTTTTTAAAATGTGTTTTCAGGAAGAAGGTTAATTAGCTGTCCTGACTACTCTCTGCATTGCCAGCAGTACTGCATCTCAGCTGCTGCTGAATCACTGCTGTGTCTCTCTGCCCTCCTGTCCACACAGGCAAATGCTTGACGCTTTCTTCCCAAGAGAAAAGCGGTAGGAGAGAGTAATACCACAGCATGATGAAGTGAACTAGGCTAACAGACACTTAGCAACAGCAGAGATTGCTGTAATAAAAGCAAATTGTATTTGGAACATTATCAGTCAATCCAGCTAGCTTGCTTTTTGCCATCTATGCCCGGCTTTGCTACTCTTACTGTTGCTTCTCTTCAGCAGTGGACTGTTAGCCAGTTGTGGCTGCTACTGGCTATTGGCAGAGCTCTTTTGGATGACATTCTCCACATTTACCATTTCTGTTCTTCAGACAGGAAGCTTGTTGCACCTTCCCATGTAGGTTGTGGGCAGCTACTTGACCTGTCAGCTAGGTATGGATGTTCTGAGCTCTGCAAGATTTTGAAACATATCAAGTCTGTCTAACAGAGGACCACATTGCTGTATGTGAGCTTGCGTTCTGAACAGATATCGCTACCACTGTGAGGTTCTCTGAATAAGCAATGATGAGAGAAGAACCTAATCAAGCTTCTCCCCATGCTTCTCCTTCCCTTGCCAGTCTCACTTCAGTCTACACCAGCGTGCCCACAGACAATGCAGACAGGAGATGCCACAGTCTACAACTTGAAACTCTCAAAGCCTGGAAGTCAAAAATGGAGTCAAAGTCCATCTTTCCTGGTTGTTTGGCTGAGTAGCTGCCATGTTTGCAATGTCTCCCACACTGTGTTAACATGGATGGGTGTAGTTGGACAGTTTGTTCCAATCTGCCTTGTGGAGCACAGTTTGTGCTCATCTAGGATATGGGTGTGTGCTGTTAGCTTCCTGCAAGGCCTAAATCCAAAACTCAGGATGATTGGAGTACATTTATGGAATGGAAAGGTTACAGTTCTGGTGTCCCAGAGCTGCTGTGTAAAGCTCCCCCACCTTAAGACAGTTTCATATGGTAACGTAGTATCTTCTCCGCTGTTTTTTGTTAGTATGTGAGGCTGAATGGAATGTATAAGGCCTCAGAATGGAGGGACATCCAAGTAACATTAAAAAAAAAATGGAGGAGGGGCAGCTAGGCAAGAAAGCAGAGATGGGGATACTGTGCCAGTTCTGCCCTAGTGTCTTTAGGGGTTGCATCTGATTGGAATACTTATCTTCAGAGAACTGAGCTGACTGCTCAGAAATAGCAAGGAATATTAATGCAAGGGAAAGTGAAGTATAATGATAATTTATGTCTGGACTCCTACAGCATGAGTATGACAGGCTGTGCTTTGTTCTTTGTTTCGTTTGTTCAAGTAAAATTAAGGTTTGACCCACCTGACTTTATTAATCCCTTCAGTGAGTGACTGATGTGTTTGCGGTAGGACTGGAATGGCTTTGCATCAGCCATGTGGATGGGAGTGGTGAGGAAGGACAGAAGAGCAGTGTCATGCCTTATCCTTTTAAATTGCTAGCTATGCTGCTCATTACATACTCACTTTATATTTCAGAGCAAATAAGTTCTTGAGTACTGACCTGTTCAAAAAGGCATTGCCAAAGGCATTAAGTTTCCTGAATGGTTTTTTGGGATCCACCACCAGTGCATTTCCAGGAACAATTCCTTCCACATCTCCTTGCATCACAGCTATAAAGGAGTCAGTTGTAGGCTCTGGTCCAATCCTCATTCCCGGGAAATCCTGCTCCAGCAGGTACCTATAGGTGAAAAAACAGGGTGCAGGCATGAGACATGAGCTCCCTAATTCCTAAGTGAGTCGTGCTGGAGATCCCAGAGAAATTATGCAGCTCGAGAGTATGAGTCCTTCCAAGACTATTTTTAGTACTGTCACTGTATCATTTGATTAATGTTGCAGTAGTTTTTCTACTTGGGATCTCCACATTTAAGGCCTCTGCATTTTAGGTGGATTAAAAAAAAATGAGAAGGCTGTACAGCAAGCAATGTTTTGATCATGTTTTTTCATGTTTTGATCATTTTGTATATTTTAATCCTTAAGACATTTGGAACAGATTTAGCACAGCAAAGTGAGAACAGCAGCACACTGCTATCACAGAGTTAATCCTGAAACCTTACTGGCCTTTGGTGCCAATATCAATTACTTCACTGCAGCTCATTTCAGCAGGCTCATCCAACTAATGTGCTTAGCCCCCGGTCCAAATCAGTCACTTAAATGCCAGCTTATTCTGTACTTGGCTGTTGAAGTCTTCAGTCTCCCCTCCCCTGTGCTTCTGCAGTGCAGTAACAAGTTTGCAATATAAACCATTCAAGCATATTGAGCACTAAGCACGTGCATGGCAGAGCATATCTCAGTATTTGTTACCAAGCTAAATGGAACAATAATTCCTTATTACTTCTTAAGCTTCTGACAGCCTCTCTGTACATTTAGCAAGTTTCAGGGAAAGATAAGTCACCTGTAGGCCCGTAGGACTTCGAATAGGACCCTAGCAGCACATTCTGACTTCACTTGCAAATTCACAATAAGTCAATGGTGTGTGTGAGAGATAGTTTCCTTCATTTTATAAAGGAGCCAAATGCCATCACTGGGAGCAAAGCTGCCTTTGTGTGTGCAGGTGCAGAAAACATGTCTCTCTGTGCCAAGAACTGAGACTGTTTTATCTATATTGCTTGCAAGAGGGAGCTAGAACTAGTTCAGCCCTCTGTATGGGATGACATCGGCCCACCTGGCCTGGTGACAAGCTCTGGGCTGTTATATGAGGAATATATAACTGTCAGGCTATGGAAGTTAGCACAGTATTGTGTTGCTTATTGACAGTATATGCTGGCACTTCCTCTTCGGTTGCTTTAATCTAGTTTTTATGATGAAACTAAAAGATAAATACAGAACCGCAGTAATGTTAAAAATAGATTCATGGGGTGGAAAAAAAGAAGAGGAAGGAAGAGGTGGGGACCTCTAACGTCTGAGATGAGAACTAGCACTAGTTCACTCAAGTGAGTCTTGAGCAAATAAGTGACTAAGTCTTGAGAGAATAAGCTCTCATGTGAAGCACTACAGGACCACTAGCATGAAGGCTTGCGATCACTTTTTTGAGGGTTCCTGCTTTAACCATCACTTCAAAAGAGGTTCTCAGTCCAGTGCTTTAGGAACAACAAAAGCTTTTTGTGCTCACCCAGCAGAGCTATTTACTGACACTATGTCAGTAAATACATCTTTATTTCCCAACGAGCAAGGCTAAAGCAAATCTAAAGATAAAATAAGCAAGCGTATGGTCGAGACAAATCGCAAGTCATCTCTAACTTGATGTGCATTAATGAAGAAAATGGCTGCGGCAAGAACAACTGGAACAATGATGCCCATAATTCCCTCAGTAGTCGACCATCTCTTTCTCAACACATTATCACGTGTTGTCTCACTTTCCCAAAGTAGTTTCCAAGTACTATGCTTACCATATTACCCCCAGAAATAACAACTTCTAATGAGATCAACTCTGAGGTGAAACAGAAGCTGTTTGTTCCCATAAAACTGAAATACTTAAGGAAGGGAAGGAAATAGCCCTTCTACCTCCTTATAATGGGGAGGGTAGGCCTAAATAAAGCCTACCTAGGGGCGCTTCAAACTCCCCTATTGAAGTACATCATTGCTTAAGAACCAGTTGGCAGTTAATGCTGCAGAGTGCCAACTCCCTTACTGATAATCACAATATGCCTTCCTGGCAGCTGCTGTAACCTCTCTAGTTTGAAGAAGAAGACACTTCCCCCTTCTCTCCCCACCCCCCTGCAAACAAGGGCATTGTAGATTGTGATGCGAATGTGCTCGGCTGAGTTCCCTGGAAAGCTCTTCACACTTGAAACAACTGTTTGCTATGTCAGAAGCCATTTAGCCAGACGCTGGAAACTAACCTTAGAAGTAGGATGGTAGTACAAAGTGTTACTACCTGATGGACATCTCGGCTGTGTTAGTCACTGCTACTGGCTTTCTTCTGCTCAGGCTATGTACTTTGCTTTTGTTCTGACATTAAATATTTAAGAGTGATACAAAAACAAGCTTCTCTGCACATATAGCAATAAATCCTTGAGTTCTCCCCTTGCAAATGCTAGAGATAAAACAAACAGTAATATCAATAGCCGAGTGCAACAAATGAGGTGCATTTAGAAGCTGATCTTACCCCACACGCTAGATATCAGCCTTACTGAGACAGTAACTTGCTTCTTCTATATTAGTTTGAGGTGCGCGTGCAATATGATAGCACTCAAAGTGCCAAGGGAACACAAAAAACCCTGGGCTTTTTGTTTGTTGTTTATATGCAAGACTTCTGAGAAAGTCTAAGAGAAAGCCCACTATATTATAACAACATTCCTCATCCCACAAGGCTGCTTGAAAGAAGCACAGCTTTTTAATCACAGCTCCACTGAACTAAAGTTTCAAAGCACTTCTGATTTGCTTCTTGTAAAAGAACAAAAATCTCAACAAAAGCCCTCTCATGGAGAAGAAATTATGAGATGATGTTAATTGACTTAATGTGCAGCAAGCAGTGTGAGAGCAGAGATGATGATTTGCACTGTATTCTAAGCAAAGCTTCTCTGGAAAATTTGGATACGTTGTGCAGCAGGGTGCCTGCATTACTGATTTCACTGCACACAGGACAAATACAAGAGGATTTATTGACACTTGTCTGGGGGTGGGAGGAGGCTTTTGCTAGGCAGTGACACAAGCTGCCTCTGCTAACAGAGGAAAGATGAACACATGCAATTGTTAAATCTCTGGGGCTCTCTGAGAGAGGACAGCAAACAATGGCTGTGGGAGACACCAACTGCTAGGAAGCAGCAGCTGTAAGGCTATTTCCCCTGTGAGAACAGTGTGCTGAGCTACTGGACAACTTCCAGAGCCTGTGGAGTGACCTCATACCAGGTTGCAAAGCCTGCAGAAAGCACCAGGCAAGAGCTGCACATTTATTTCTAGCCCACCCACTTGGAGAAGTGTCTGGAGTTGGTATCTGGTTAAGAGCATTGTGTTGCCTGCTGCCTTTCAGAGCTGTCCTTGTACCTAGTGAAGATGATGAGGTGTGGGCAGAAAAACTGCACAAGGGCAGAGCTGGCCTGACCAGGTATGGTGTGGCATAGAAGCCAGGCAAGGAGATCCCAGGCTCTCCAGGCAGGAATGCCTCACAGGATGTGGGGGAGGGAGCCATTTGCTAGTGATGAGTCATGCAGGAGCCCTGCAGGATGCTGTGGCAGCAGAGGTGATGCAGGCTGGAAAGGATGAGGAAAGGGAAGGAGGGCAGTAGGAGGAAATGGTGAGAACTGCCTGGTGGAAGCAGAGATGAAAGGTTCAGGGCCACATGGGGAGGTCACAGAAGGGCTGCCTGGCATAGCTTGTGACAAGTGGTCCAGAGAGGCCAGAACATGTAATTGATTAGCTGTTAAGGAAAAGAGTGGCTACACCAGAAAAGTAAGCCATGCTGACAGTCAGTAGGGCTCTGGCTAGCTTGTTTATTTTATTAACAGGATTGCTACACAGAAACCAGGATTATTTTTAGAAAAGACCACAGAATCTAAGTTAATTAGGAGAGTAATGTTCTATCCTGCATTCCCATCCTCTTACAGGAAACATTAAAAGTAATAACATTAGATGCAGGCTTCAGCAGCATCCTCCCATCCCAAGGAAGTTAACTGCTCTGGCTGTTGGTCACAGGTAGAGGAGGTGCCTTGCCTCCAACATTCAGGCCTTTCAGATCCCAGCCCTGCAGAAAGCCAAATGGATGCAGACAGAAACTGGAGGGAGGAAAGAAGATGCAATAGGAAGCAGAAATACAGAAATCACTTGGTGATGCTGCCTTTTTTTTTTTTTTTTTTTTTTGCATAGCAAAAAAAGAAAAGGGTTCAGTTCCCTACATTTCTGAAAGCAAGAGAGAGAATAGCATGGTTTAGCCAGCGCTTTCGTCTTGCTTTGCTGACTTTGACCCACACAGTTCACCTCACTCCTCCCCCAGGAACATTTCTGTGACCTTGACTGCCTTGCTTTTGCCTACTGATAAGAGAGCAGTTTCACTTCAAGACACTGGGTGCTCTCTTCAGAGAGATTTTTTTTCCCCCCTTCAGAGCTTTTCATTTCTTCTTTGCTTATCTCAATAGGAACAAAAAAAAAAAAAAAGGAGAAAAATTCATCTGTAAGGTAGGTGAACAAATTCATGTTTTTGGACACATCTTGTTTCATGCTAACGTCAAGACATAATAGTGGTTTCTCTTTCTACTTCTCCCTCCCATTTAATTCTGCCCTGCTCTCTGTTGCTAGCTCCCACTCACCTTCCCACAATAACTGGAAGCTAATCCAGTGCTTATCCCAGTTCTCTAACTACCAGTGCCTGCAAGCTCATGTTGAAAACCTACTACAAGCAGCACAGTTACCTAGCATCCCCTGCCTTTGTTTGGTTGGAGGCATACTGGAGCTCTCTTACTGCAAGAGACCCACAGGTTCATCAACAGTTCACCTTTCACCTTCTCATGCAATTTTAAATAGAGAAATTTCTTCTTCCTAGCTCATCCCAGACTTGCACAAAGAGGGCTCGGAGATGAGGACACAAGCATGAAATGCACTGGTTGAGAAAGGTTCAGATCACCTTGCTGACCTAAGGGATTTCTTGTCTTCCCACAGAAGAGAAGGCTCATCTCTTCCTTTTGTCTGGAACATGCTTTAAGCATGAAGACTTACACAGAAGGAGCTCAAGCTTACAGAAAAAGGAACACAATTGAGCAAAGGCAGGAATGACTGCCAACCACAGCACCCAGGTGTGACTGCAGAGAAAAGCTGATGCTGGTGATCCAGATAAGCATTAGAAAGAGATGCTCCAGTTTTATAGCCAGCAGCATCCTCACATTTCAGGAAAGTTCTGCTCTGAGACATCGATAACTGGGAAGGTAGAAAGAGCCTCTTCAATGCATTTGTTATGAAGTCACAGGACAAAGATCTGGGGTGGAATCAGACAGTTGTCCTATACAAGTCAGCCTCTCATTTTTCAGAAGAGCAACACCCATTCCAACCACATGCCAACTGCTTCTCAGGGTTATTCACATCCTTTCATCTACCTGACCTACTCACGTGAGAAAGGCTTTTTCCACTGTTAAATTTTACTTGTCAGGTGCATGCCTGACAATACATTCTGTTCTTGGCTCCTGCATTACTAGCAAGAATACTACAACACACAAACACCCTGCATTCCTCAAGGTCACTCCTGGAGAGGCACAGTCAATTTGATTCACTTCTCTCTACTCTGCACAGCTCCCTCCTCCACCAATTCATACCGGTAGAACAAAGGCCTGGCTGCTTGTGGCCTCTGTCCAGATATACACTGGGGTAATTCCACAGATTTCAACACAGCCACACCAGAGTAACGCTGGAATTTAATGCTAAGCTCATGAATCACGTAGGAAATGCAGACAGCACAGCTTCAGCTATGATCCCAAGAGAAAGGCTGCTGCAAGCTGAACTAGCAGTGCCTGAGCAGAGATCTCTGCAACAAAGTCCAGCTGGAAAAATTTAACCCTCTCCATGCAGGTTTTGTATCGAGTCTGCTGTTGGCAATTGCTCTCCTCTGCAGTCAGGAATGAACGTGCTTCTGGCACTGCAGCAGGCTGCACAGGACTAGATTTCGGAGCCCTTATGACTGGTAGGTCTCTCGCACATGCACACACCTAAACACATGCTAGGCCCTGCGTGTTACCTCTGGGCATAGCACAGAACAACAGCAAGGTGAGGCACAGAGCATTACAAACCCAAGAACCCTCCCTAACTTCACCTAGGCCCGAGGCTGCCCTACCACCCAAGCACTATCATAAGATGGAAGGAATGAGTCCTATCATGGAAAGATGCGACCTGATGGAAAGAAGCAACCTGAGCAGTCACAGCGGTACCTCTGCGAGGCTTCCTGTGCTCTCTACGCTTCGACCGAGCAAGAAGGCTACAAATGACTCACCGCTCCCTGCTAATGCCCTGCCCTGAGCTCTATTCGCCACGTTGGTGTTCTACCAGCTATCCCAGCTGTACCATGCTGCTGGAGTTCAGTCTAAGAGCTTCTGCCCGGCACCAGGGACATCGAGAAGGGAGCTGGGTGCGGACGGCACACGGGTACAACAGACCCCCGGGCAGGGGCACTCCCTGGCACCCGCACGGCCACCGAGGGGCTGGGCGGCGCAGTTTTACCTGATGAAGGTGGTCTTCCCGGTGGAGTACTGCCCCACCAGCAGCACCATGGGCTTGTTGTCGAAGTCGGCATCCTCCAGGGCGGGCGAGTGGAACTCGTGGAACTTGTAGTGCTCCTCCAGGGGCAGCAGTTTGGTTTTGTAGAGCTTCTTCAGACCCTCGCTGACTGTCTGGAACACCTCGGGGTCCTTCCTCCGGCGGTCGTCGGTGCCCAGCCAGCTGAACATCTTCGGGCCGCCCGAAGCCAGCTCCGCCGCGAGCGCCGAGGTCGGGCGAGGGGCGGTGCGAGGGGCTGCGGCCGGAGCTACCCCTGCATGCTCCCTCAGACACCGCTGTCCGCCGCGCAATCGGCACCGGCGGTTTCGGTCAGCAAACGCTCCTCACGGCCAACCGGCGCCGGGAGACGCCGCTTCCCTTCACGCCGCCCGCTGCCGGCGCGGGCATACCGCGGTGAAACGGCGCGAGGGGCGGACGGAGGCGGCAGCGCCCTCAGCGCGCGGCGGGAGGCGTTTAAGGGTTGGCCCTGCAGGAAATGGGCAGGCGCCGGAAGTCGGAACTCCTGGCAGCGCCGCCCGTTCTGCCCGGCGAATGAAGCCGCGCCGGGAGGCGCCATGTTGAGGAGGTGTGCGGAGGCAGAGAGGGGCTGCGGCTGCACGGTGCGACGGGGTCCTTCAGTCCTGCCGCCATTTTATCCCGCGCTGAAACAAGCGCTGTGTGTGCGAGCACGGCAGGGAGCTGGGCTCCTTCTGCGCGATAACGCTCTAGACTGCGATCGTAAAGCCGGTGGCTGAAGTGAGAGCCCTGTCAGCCTGCAGCGCTGCACCAGAGCAGCTTCCTCAGTGCGAGGCTTGGTGATGAGGCACGAAGCTCGCCGGGCTGGCTCGGCTGCGAGTCACGCTCAGTCACTGCTCTCTGAGCACAGCAGCCTGTGCTTGGAGTGATTTACTGTTTAACAGTCGTTGGCTGCACTTTTGTTCCTCTCGCAGTTTGGGCAGCAGGAGGGATGGAGAGCAGGGGTTGGCAGTGCCCATCTATGGCCAGGCCTGCCTGTAATGCCGCCCTGCCGGTCTGCTAGCTGCAGCTGAGTGGCTTAGACTGAGCCTTTCCTTAAATATCTCTAAACAGCTTTTTCGTTTGACTTTCTTCACCAAGAAATGTGGCAACAAGAAGTCTTGGAAGAAGTCCCGTTGTGTCGTGGGTGCCTGCCCTTTCCCAGCCGTCTGTGTCCAGCGCTATTTCAGGCTGGAGAAGTTAGATTTGTTGCAGAAGGAGATGCAGTGAAAGCAGTTGATTTACACAGGGGCAGACCGAGGTGCACGTGGTCCCAGGTGCCTGGATCTTATGTTTGAATGAGTACAAAGAATAATAAAGTTGTTTCCACTGAATGTGTTTTGTGTTTGTTGGCAGCCAGGGACTCTCCTGGGAACGCACTGGGAGGATTTGGGGATCGTTTTCTATGTATTTGACTGGATAAATTTTCCTGATGCTGCAATTGGGTGTGTGCACAGATACACAGACAGCTTTTCCGTGCAGCCTGACCAAGAGGTGGAAGCAATGAGTCCAGGGACTGGCTTTGTTTTTCTGGAAGGAAATAACAAGTTGACTGTATGTTCTGAAAGTCAGGCTCCCCTACTTTGCTGCCAATGCCTAAAGCTGGTCCGAAATGGGAACTGATGTTTTTAAACCTTTTTAAGATTCATTTCCCTTGTTGCTTTAGTTCTTATAAATAGACTGAGATTTTGGCTCTAAGAATTAATTATTTCCAGTAAAAATTCCTGAAAAAAGAAGGACCCCGTAGAAATCAACAAAGTTTGGCAAGAATTCCTTGTTTTGTAAGAAAAACTCGCTTTCATCTTCTAGATAGCTCTCCATTTAAGGACTGCGCTCCTCAGAGGCCAATCTGGTATTTCTCTGGCTATATATGGAGCCTGCTACTCCTCAGTGGTTCCTTGTGATAGTCTCAGGGCTGACTAAAGGTCAGGCCAGGAAGTCTTTGATGGCAAATCTTCCCGGACCACCTTGATACCCTTCCTGAGTGCCACTAATGGGAGAGAAACATGAGTAAGCCTTGTGTTGTGCAACTTCTGGGAACTAGTTGCTGCAGGTACAGCAGAAGCACTGTTGTTCCACATCTACAAGATGAAAATAAGTATTAATGATTAAGCTGTGTTTATTGTAAGCATTTATACCAAAAGGCCAAAAAGCATGTCCTCACAGAATCTGAAGACAGACCTTTCCATTTGCATTCATTATTACCATGGCAGATTATGACAAACTTCACAGTTTTTATAGACTTTCTTTAGGTGACTCACACAAGTTGCACAATTCTATTTGCTTTTTTGGTCTGTTTTTTTAGCTGATTCTCTCGGAGAGGCTGACTTCCTCAGGGGCTCTCCTTACCTTAGATATGTAGAGCTTGTCAAAAACAATAGAAAGTAAAATTAGGAAAGGAAGTTTAGAGTATAATCAGTTTTTTTATTTCTTCTTTTCCTGGTTTCAAACTGAAAATTGTGATCTGCTTTCTGTATTTATTCCTTTTTATTTTTAAAACAGACTTATTTTAATGTAGAGTTTTCTGCTGGGCAGATTGGTCTCAATGCAAAGTTGTTTTTTAAATTCCATATATAAATGCTTAAAAATTTTGAAAGCAGAAAAGGAACTAAAGCAATGAATTTTTAGGGGTTTTGTTTTGTTCCAAACAATGTTTTTTTTTCCTATAAAAAGTCTCTGCTGGAAGAAGAGCTGTTATTTCTTTAAAGTCCCTGAGCATTTCAAACACAAGCTCACTCTTTTCAATGTCCTGCACATTAATTGCTGTACTGCAGTGCTCAAGATGTGCTGGTACTGGTGGGACAGGTCTGCAGGTGTCCTCTGTTAATGAATTTGTCTCCCTCTCTCTACACAGAAAGATTAAAGTTCTGTTGGTTTTCAGTTTCAGTTGCTGGTGACATGTAGACCAAACTGGGTGTTCTCCTTTTCCAATGGAGAGACTTTGCTAGAGAAGATGCTGCTGGAAATGAATGGGACTAGACTCAAGTCACGTCTTTGTCTTCAAAACGAAACCTAATGTCTGGGGGCAAAATACAGTGCTGTGTAACTGAAACTTCACATGAAATCATTACCGTGATGTGTGTTTGCTTATCGCCCCACCTCAGACTGGACAGGTTTGCTTCCTGTGAAGATCATCTGAGAATGGGGAGATGGGCAAATATCCATGTTTGAAAAGAGGTGGTGAGTCAGCGCTGTGAAACTTTTGACAGTTTGAAGAAGGTTGTGAGAACAGAGTAGTTCAGTAAAATTCACTTCCTGCCAGGGCAGTTGTTGTCACTGTTTGTTTATCACCAAGTCTGAAACCCAAAAAGCAGTGTCAGAAGTTCAGTTAATTATGGATCCAAGAGTGAGTAGCAGAGTTTGCGTGAAAGGCACAAGGGGAGAAGGATGTGCAGCAGCCCAAAATTAAACCCAAACCACTAAAATTTGGTAAGGGACTTTCCTCTGGTTCAGCATGATCAGATTTCTCAACTGCTTTCTGCTGTCATGTGGCCTTGGTATTGTCTCCAGGGTGTTCTGTCCCTTTGGTACTCATTGCTTTGTCTTTACAACCGAGAAAGCTGCTGCCTTCCTTTCCTACCCTCACTGCTCTTCCATGTTCTTCTGAAATAGTTCTCATGATGTTTTTCCTGCTGTTGTTCACAAATGGATGGGTACACCTATGCTGTCCTTTGTCCTGCCCTGTGCAAACAGCTTTTATCCCCTCATTGCTTAGCATGGAACCGAGGGCTAGTACCCAGAAATGCCACCAGAACTGGGAAATACGGGCTTGGATAGTGTACGTTAATGGTACGTCCTTGCTTCAAGATGATTTGCTCTTTACAGATGTAAAGCAAAGAAAGCGTGTTGTAGGCTACCTAAAGGACCTGATCCATATGATACCTGCAATAGTACCAGAATGAAAAATCCCAAGTCCTTCTCCATACTTAGCCAGCCTTACAGTGCAGAATCTTGGAGATTTCTCACATAACTCTTTGATGGTTTTGATTGACTCTGCCGTAGGATGTACAGTTTCCTTTGAACTTATGTGTATATTCTTTATAAAAATTGTTCTGATTTGATGGATTAAGTGGAGAGATGCTCATGGCCCCAGCTGTTCTGAGAGTATGTATTTTTTGAGGGTATTTCCTTTCTGACCATTTCCCGACCTGAGCAGAAATTACATTTAAATGTATTCAGACACAGTTGAATGCATTCTCCTGTTCTGCTTTGCCAGTGATGCATGGAGTGTTACAGAGTTTTGTGCGTTGAATAATCAAACAGCACACTAAACAAGGAAGCTGCCTTCTACTTGAGGGGATGAGTCAAACATTAGATGGGCTGACCTTTTATTTTATGTCTTATGTGAGATATTTTACACTAGGGTTCTCAGAAATGTTCTGGCATTACTCAATATGTTTTTTTCCCCGCCTTCTACTGCAGTGCTTGTTGGGTGAGTACCAGCCCTTGGTGTTATGCAGGCAAGGCATATATATACACACATGCACACACAAATATATTCGGAAGTAAGGGTAACACATATGCTGTTTATAAGCAGAGTTCATCACTGCCAGTGGAACAATTATCCTTTGCTGTGAGGACACACCTGGAGAAGGTAGGACATCAAATGCCAAGTGCTACATCTAGAGCTCTGGTGCTAGCATTATTGACCAGTATCCATGTGGGTGGCAGAGTTAGGATGTTCCAAGGGGTTGAAAGAAGTAGAACTCTGTCACTGCTTGCCAGAGGCATGGTGCTGAGAGGAAGCTGTCCTCCAGGATCAAAAGTGTGTATTAGTTACATGATGCCGCTAGCCACACTGAACAACAGCTGCTGCTGTACTTTTCTATGGAAGTGTTAAAGGCAAAGGCAGAAAGTCCATGTCAGCAAACATGAGAATAATGGGTGCGATACAAAGCAACTAAATGAGCTGGGTCAGATGCTCTGCATGTTACAGTTACAAAGCTTCTGCCTGCCAAATGGTTGGGAACGCAGGCTGGTGTTGCAGCTAACCAAGATTTTGTTCACCTTTCTGCTCTCAGCTTTGCTGTTTATAGAAGATTTTTCTGATATTTGACCACAGAAGTTAAATGTTTCTTCTGAGGTTCAGCTGAGGTTGTGGGCAGTCAGGATCTCTGGTAGTTAGGATGATTATGAATGTGGGTGTTGTAACCTTAAGTGCTAAAGAACAGATCCCAAGTAAATGGGAAATTTGTGTTCCCACTGATTTTTACAGAGGTTGGACAATCTTCAGAGTAAAGAATATATCTTTTAAATTCTCCGCCAGAGTCTTTAAAAGTGTTTATTCAGGGAGGTATTGGCTGAAGCTCTGAATGCCGTCCAGGCATATTCCCTATAGGCTTATTGTTAACTTCAGTGGGAGACTCTGGGGCAGGTTCCCTGCATGGCCTTGAAAATCTCAGTGCCGGAAGATGTTCATGACCTTTTGGGCCAAGAATCTAAGCACTGGAAATTCAGGGCAAGGCTCTTCACCTAACAGTGATTTCATTTATTTTGTGAGAAAACACACGTACGTACTTCTTTTCAGGATATTGTTGTTTGCTAAAGCACCCACGAGAAAAACAGGAGTCAGCGTTGAGTTTCTATTTCTGAAATACACTACGGTGTTTAATTAAAGACTCGAGGTTGTACCTGCAAGTGCGATTTTCGTAACGTATGTTAAGAGACTAACAAACATTAACAGTATTGGAATACAGTCACTTGTTCGTTTTGACTGTTTATTTGTCTACTTCTGTTGTATTACAAGAATGGCTGTGAAAGGTGGCCTGGCATCATTTGTTCTGCTCACCCTAAAATGTACTATTTTGCATGCAAACATTTGTTTTATTCCACACAGGAGTAGATCCATATAGATACTTGTTCATGAAATCAAGGGAGCTGGACAATGTTGTCCAAGATTAATCCTCTCTTAGGGAAAGAGGCTCTCGGGGAATCCTTTGATGGTCCAGTTACTTGTACTGAAAGGGAAGAATTTTCTGTGGCTTCTTTAGGCTTTAAATTTAAGATTGAGGAATTAGGCCACTTCATGGCATCTCACATGATGAGCAGGAGAGCACAGGATGCTAATTTAGTGGAAAGAGGTGCATCAGATGGCAAATGTGCTGACAAGGGTAACATGCAAAGAATAGAGGATCAAATCCATCCAGCCTGCATGTTCACAGCTTCCATCTGCAGCTTTTAACCTGTCTGCTATGCTTGGCTCCTTTCCACTAGAAATCATAATGACTGGAAGAGACATGCACAGGCTACTCTCCATCCACACCAGAAGACACGGTGGGGTGCACTGATTGCTGACAGTCTAGTTCAGTAACATTGCTGCGTAGAGTGCAGGAGATGTATTGTCATATACAGCTGTGTCTGGCTCCTGCTCATACACTGAGCAGGTCAAACAGCAGGCAGATGAAGATTTCCAGATAATTTGGGAAAGAGTTCAAAACAATACAGCTGCAGGTAGAATCAGATGAGAGGTTTTCAAACTGCCCCACCAACTCAATGTAAAGTTACAGTTATGGCTGCTGACTCAGCTTCTTGGGATTAAGGCTGTATGTTCAGGAGATTTAAACCTCCAGTTTTGAAAGCATTTTCTTTTTCATACTGTTTTTTAGTTTCAAAGCCTATTTAAAAGTTTTGTTGCTTTTCAAATAAAAATCAGACAGGTGTGAACTGGTGAAAGTGTCTCAATTATTTGATCAAGTATTGAGGAAGTTCAGCACACACAATAATCCGTTCTCAGATATTTGCTTTTCAACATAGCTCTGAGTATTTCAATTAGTCACCAATTCTTTTCCTGTAGAACAGCAAAATGAGAATTTCTGCTTCATACATGAAGACTGAACACAGTTGGGTCTCCAAACCATTTTTTTTGCATTAAATCTGTGTCTCTGTCCGTTCTTCATATTCTTGTAGTTGTGAAGGTCAGTGACTGCAAAAAAGACAAGGTTTGGAGGGAGAGATGATAGAGAAAAAGTAGAGAAGTTGTTAGGCACTTACATCCTAGGTTTGAAATGTACCATGATAATGTCCAGTGGGAAATTGAATTTTTGTTTCCAATTTTTGTTTCATCGTTTGAAGATTTTTCTTTCATTTGCCCTTGAGAAGCAAGCCTTGTAGATCAATTGCAGAACAGTTTTAAAACAACTGAGGAGGGCTCTGTGCGGGAGGACAGTGTAATCCATGTTTGTTTGGTTTCTCACAGGGAATGCTGGTGACCTACAACTTTAATGAGAGTAACAATCAATGGTTCCTAATTGAGATCAGTTTCCTAGTGTGCCTGAGGCAGTGACTTGCAGTCTCACAAGGGAAGGGAAGGCTTCCAAATACTGTCAGTTCAGCATGGGAACCGTTTGTTGAACTTAGTAGCAGGATAAATTTTTTCAGTCAACCTTGTTACTGTTTATGGGCATGATTTGTCTTCTGAGTTTCTTAATCATTTTTTCTTTCTCCATGCAAAAGATGCTCACCACTTGTAGCAAAAGGTGATGGCTGCTAATATTTAGCATGAGGCATGAAAAATGGGTTGTGAGATCACTTTTTGCTGTTTTCAATGGAAAGATGAGAAACATCTGTCTTGAATGTTCCAAGAAAAAAAAATCTCAGTATGCAGTTTCATGTGTGAATCTGTGGTCATCAGCAAGATGGAATGTGATCTCTTGGGGATGATTGTATCATTTTTCAGAGTGAGGCAAAGAGAGCAATGACTATTGGAGGGTTTTGAGTAACTGGCTTTGTAATGCTTAATGCATTCCATGTTTTGTTAGCTTTTGGTTTGTCTTAATGTTTTTCCTGCTTAGGGAGGGGAAATATCCACATGCCAGAATGTCATTCATGTTTTAGCATGTTATGAAAACACCCTGGAGAGCCTAGAATAGTCTGGAGAGAGACTCAGAATAGCTGTGTGGATAGCTTTGAAGCCCAGGTAGAAGTCAACTGGTAACTCATTTTGACATAAATTTGCAGAATGGAAAGCCTTGAAAACACAGTGACAGATATCAGATTAGAATCAGAAGTTCTCCTTGATTCTATGATTCTCTCTGATTCTATGACTCCTATGAGTGCCATCCCCCTCTGCTGGTTAAAGAAAAATGTTAAAAGTCAAGATACAATTTACTTTTTACATTTATTTTAATGATCCAGAACTCTTCTGGAGAAGACATACCTCATCCCAGTATACAAGGAATTTCTAACAGGACTGAGCAGGGCAAGGTCCCTGTAAGCTCCTCAGAGGAAGAATATCGCCATGCCTTTGTTGCCATGCCTGAAAAAAAAGAAGTCACCTGGGTCTTTGGGAAAGAATATCTTTCAAAAACACAGCCCACCTGTCCAGCAGAACTACCAGGCCTTGCTGGAGACGTGCTTGAAGAATAAACAACTGTTCACTGATGAGAGTTTCCCTGCTGACATCAGCTCTATTGGAACAGGAGCAATACTGAAGAAACTCCCCCGAAATGTACAGTGGAAGAGGCCACATGTAAGTGATTTTTAGTGAATATTGTCATGTAAGAGAATGATCAGAGTAGATAGACAGCAAGTAGCGATAACATCAAGTGGACTTGCTCCTAGACTTCGAGTGCCTCAATGCCTTCAAAAGTGATACTTAATTGTAGTGGCTGTCATTTCAGAAGTTTGTGTACATATAGTTCCATGATTGCCTTTAAAGCATTTATTGCCAGAAATCATAACCAACTTTATTCAGTTTATATCCAGTAACACTTAGAGCAGGCAGGGAAAGCGAATGAAGGGGGTGAGTGGAAGCTGGTGCCCTTGGAGCAAGTAGCATGCTGGCAGATGTGATGATTCTGTGGAGATTCTGTGATGTCAGTTCTCATGATGACAGCCTCTCTCCCCAAAATTGAGGATCTTAATGCTTTAGAAGATTTCTGAATTTTCAGTCCATTCTTAGCCTTTGGCCCCCATCCCTTGGACCACGTACTGTTACAATGCTGAAAGCTGTTACTTTCCTAGGCAGTCGCAGGTGCCTTATCTACTTGCTGGTCTGTGCTTTTTTTCTTTTTTTTCTTTTTTTTTTTCTTCCCCTCTTTCTTAACTGTTTAGTCTGTTCTCTACTGTATTTGTGCACTGTTTCCCAGCTCTCAAGGTTGAGCTTCTGCCATGACCAATAACTGATCATCAGTGGGTTGTTTTCAGTTCTGAAGCTTCTGCACTTTACTTGTGCTCATATTTCCAAGGTCCTTGCTGCTTGCTACCCCACGCTTAAACAGAATGAACAAGACTCCTGGGACCAAGCTGTGATCCCAGAGCAAGTTCCCATAACAAATTGATAGCAAGCCTTGCTGGCCAAGACGGGGTTCTGGCACAGTTAGAGAAGGCCTATTAGCTCTAGCCTATTACTAGCAGTGGCAATTCTGTTCTTAATGAGTCATCGAGGAGCACACTGATACTCTGATCTTCCTAAAAGCACTCATCTGGGAGATTCAGTCTCCTTGGAGGTCTGCAGGTAATAGCACATAGCATCTCCTAGTGAAGTTATTTTCTAGCCATCAGATTTTGTTAAATTTAACCAATTTCTTAGAAGGGACACGTTTCTGCAAAACTCAAGAAAATCAGCAGGGAAGTAGAGGAACTTTTCAAAAACAAGCAGGAGGCCTTGGAAATAGCAGCCCTGGTTCTCAGGGTTTCATACGTAATTCCACTGCACAGATAGTCTGTATTGTCAGGATCTGGCAGAGCACAAATGCCATGCTTAGGGGTCTGAGCTGGACTCTGAGGGTGAGACAGCTCTATCAGCATAGATGTACTTGAAAGGGAAGGTGATACAAGTCCTGGTCTCTACAAAGCTCTTCAGGTCTGTAATTCTTTATCTCCACTCCAGCGGAATGGCACTGAAACTAAATCTTTCTCTCAGTCCACTCTAAAGCTACTCTAAAGCTTCCTGAATAAGAAGGTTGCCATTTGCTCTGATTCCAAACTTAACTCAGCAAAGACTCTCCGAGGAAGGATACTGTGTATCCTTCAGTGCATAGGCTACAGAAGAAATGCTGAGATTGTTCTATTTGGCCTTCAACCTTGTAGCTTGCTGTTTCTATGCCTGATGGCCTGCAAAATGATGAACATCCAAATTCACCTCGAATGGGAGCTGGTGTCTAATTACTGTAGCAGCCTTTTCAGGATTTGCCATTTCTCTGCTGCTGCCTGAAGAGATAGCCAGCAGTGTGAAAATAAACTTGAGCAATTTGTGGGTCATAAGAGCAAAACGAAAGTTTGGCACTTAAATTATTGAGTTGTGCCCAGAAGCATTTGTGAGAAGAAAAGATTAACAGCATAATTTCTTTCTGGATGGTTAGTTAAGAATCATGTGCTTGTCACATCACCAGAAACTTCCCTACCAGATATCTGTTAGTCTGTAGCTTGACTGTCAGTCAAATCATGGTGACATCAGCTATATTAGCTGAAAGTTTAACAGTTTCTGCTCTGCCACTGTAGCCTCTTCTGCTGAAACTTGTCAGCAATTATAGAGGAGGTGGGCTGGCAGGTCTGAAGGGTTGTCGTCTTACAGAGATATTTGTGAATAACCATACTGATGAGTCTGAGCAGTACTAGTTTATCTCTGGGACTGTATTTGGTGTAGGCAAAATTTGGTGTGCCTAGGCTTGTGTCAGAGTAGCCTGGGTACCTGATAACACTGGCATTACATTGAACTAGAATAATGTCTTCTGGGAGAAAGCTACCTTATTTATTCTGAAATCAGGCAGAGGGAGTGTTTTTGTCATATATCCATGAGTTTTTCACATTCCAAACTATGAACTCATTGCATCTCTCATCTCATGAGATTGCAGCTCTGCAGACAAAGTTCTTGACTTCGAGCTAAAATAGCTCATGTTAGTAACTTGGCTGTCCTCCTCTTCTCTTTGGCCATGTGCTTCCCAGGCTTTGCACAGAACTCCAGTATTTTATGCTGCGAACAGAAAGCAACTTGACCTCTGCCAAGGATTAGTGGGTAAGGAAAAATTCCTTTGTATAAATATGTAAGTGGCTATACACAAAATAACATTTTATGTGGGATTTTGACTGAATCAAACTGGGACAGAATAGGTGTGCATGCCTATGTTGCTTCGTTTAGCATGGTGTGGTTTAAGCAATCATTAAAGAGGGACAGGCTCAGTAAAAACCTGGCAAGTGTCAGGGTGGAATTTGAAGTGTGACAGTTATCTCCACAAGCTAAAATTGCTGCTCACTTTGTTGCTTTTGAGCCTGCTGCTATTGCAATGGGAAGTTACTGTGTGCATTTGGTGGTCTTTAGCAGTGCTACTTGACAACTGAGCAGAGACCACAGAAGCAGGAAAATCTGAGATTTCTGCTATCTCCATACCTAAGAGCTGGAGAGAATGCATTCTCTTCTCAGCTTTGAAGTTCAAAAAATCATTTTTATACCACGTTACCTGAGAAGGATATATTAGCATCTGCAAGACAGGGCAGGACTGAATTAATTTTTATTGAGTGCTATAAGCTCTTAAACACAAGGTACAGCTTTGCCTGGGAGATCCACTGGAAATAATTCTCCTCTTCTGAAGTTAGTATTTTCAAAGAAAAAGGGAAAGGTTTTGTAATAGTGTGTTTGTACAAAAATATGTAATGCCAGTAAAAAACAGAATGTTTACACTGACAGCTATTTCTTTTTAAATTTGTCACTGAACCAAACAATATCTAAAGGAAAAGGTCATGGGAGGACAATTATAAAACAATCACAGTTTAATTAAATAAAGCACGCGTCTGGTCTAATTTTCTGTGTATTGTTCATTATAATTTTAAAGACATTAGCACAACAGCTCTTCTTCTAGGATCTTCATGGAGCTCCTGAACTTGGCTGACAGGTCTTGCTTTTCAGCCAACCACATGTGTCCGTTTGTCTTGGCACAGGGAACTGCTGGTTCCTGGCTGCTCTGCAAGCCCTAACATTCCACCAGGACATCTTAGCTGCAGTCGTGCCACAAAACCAGAGCTTTGAGAGGAAATATGCTGGCATTTTCCACTTCCGGGTATGTTTGCTCCACAGGAGCGAGGGAGGTCTTCAGAAATCCCCTGTCATGTTTTATGTCAAATCCTTGGATTATTTCTACAGGGTTTCCCTTGACCAAGGGCAAGCAGCCAGGGGGCGTCCTGGCCTGGAAGGCCACAAAGCAATGCAGGAAGGGGGTTAACTTGTCTGAGGATGTGTCTCAGTTTGTCGCTTCTCCTCAGCTGGGCCCTATCCAATATTTTATCAAGACAAATGTCTCCACATAGCAGCAGCAGTCATAAAGGCCCTGAGTTTTTACTCTGCTCTTGCTGCAGCTCTGCCACCCCACAATTGGGAACGCCTTCCCTGAAAGCTCAACTGTTCCTCATTTCCCTATTTAATCCCTCTTTTACTCCTGACACACACTTTGTTTTCTCCTTTGTCTGGGTAAGGCTGATGAGTTGAATCTTTGGGTGAGTCAGCACCTCCCACTGATCTCGTACAGTCCATAACCCAAGGCAGCTCATCCTGAGCCTGCAGCTAAGCAATCCTGCCTTTGCCCTTGCTTTGAAGGGAGGTTCCTTCTGAGGAAAATATCAGTTCATTCCTTTCCCCTGACAGTTCTGGCACTTTGGTGAATGGGTTGACGTGGTGGTTGATGATCGCCTGCCGGTGAACGAGGCGGGAGAGCTGGTCTTTGTTTCTTCAGTCTATAAGAATGTGTTCTGGGGAGCCCTTCTGGAGAAGGCGTATGCTAAGTAAGTGACTCATTCTAAGTTATTAAAATAGTCTCTCTGAAATATGTTGGCTTGTGCTGTGCAGTTTGTACTTGTTTATAAATGCATCTCCTGGGCCTTGCCACATTTGGAGTGTAGTAAATGGTTCTCATCTTTCTATTTCTAAAGAGTAAAATTCCCACTGCAGTAGCTCTTGCCAATTCAGGCCCTTGAGTATAAATCCAAAGGTTTAGGATATGAAATGAAAACAAACGTATGCTAGGGGATTATTCCCAAAGTGGTTCCTTATATAGTGGGTTGGCCAAGATGATGCCTTCTTTGCAAACACTGCAGAAGAATGGAAGGCCAAAGATAGAGATTTCCAAAGGTGAATGATTGCTGATGCCCCTCTTGATCTATTACCAGTTTGAGAAACCTCCAAGGAGTTTCATTTTGGGAGTCTGTTGATGAGTTCTACTTTCGCCTTGATAAAGGTTCCTGCTCTGAGATATTACAAAGCCTTCAACTTGTTAAAGCATTCGACAAGTCACATGGCATACTGAAAATATTGGCTTCTCTCTTCGGGTTGTTTTATCTAGAGTGGTTTATTGGGACTAAGAAGAAGGCAACAACTCATAACTGATGGAGTTTGTTATTCTTGGGTTAAAGTAATCTGAGCTGGGAAAAATAAGCAGAGCAGGAAAAAACCTAGCTCGTACTGAGAAAAAGATCATCCAGAAGGAGAGAAAGCTCAGCTATATTCATTTGGTTGTAGCACTAGAACAAAAAGAGAAAGTTACTCTTCAGTAGTGAAGAAAATCAGATTGGAAGCTGAACTGTTAAGGAGTATCAGATATGGTACATTGTCTGGTGAGATATTCAGGCAAAATTTGCTAAGGCTGAATTATCAAAAAAGCAGTGATGGGCATGTTCTTGGTACTGCTTAGTGAGGAGATCAGTAATGAGTGAAGCAGTACTTTTCAGCCTATGGCCAGTCTTGGGCACGCCAAATATTTCCCCAACATTACACATGAATTACAGCATATTTAAAAACAAACAAACAAACAAAACTAATCTAAACCTTCATACCCCTTATTATATGCTTTCATTGGCACATACCTCTCAACCTATTGTCTGTGGCTATAAACCCAAGAGTATACTGATGTCTTTGTTTGCTAGACTTTACGGCTCCTATGAAGATCTACAGATTGGGCAAGTTTCAGAAGCCTTGGTGGATTTCACAGGTGGTATTAATATAAGGATCAAGCTTCCAGCAGCTCCTCCTGATCTGTGGGATATCCTGACAAGAGCAACCTACGGCAGATCTCTCATGTGCTGTCAGACACAGTTAGGGGTGAGACTAATGGTTTCACAGCTACAAGTCTTTCCAGTCAATTTTTCCTCTGCTCAGCCAGACGCTGTGATTCCTAGAAAGAAAGCTGACACCTATGACTTGCTGTAGAAATCATGTTCTTAAGTATAAAGGTTGCTCTTAAGGTTCCTACTGTGTGTAGGATCCTCCCTATTGTGCTTTATCTATCAAAAAGTCTCTATTGAATAAAGACCTCTCATTTTTCAATTTTTATTAAACAGTTATTCCATTTTTGCAGATGGTGACTCTCAAAAGCAAATGGAGAATGGTTTGAAAGGGGACAAAATAAATCTGATCTCCTAATAGCCACATTTTTCCTAACAGCCATACTTTGCTGTATGTTTGGAATTTGGAGCATAATCACCCAAGTTCCCTCATAAATTGTGGATAATTGGCTAGATCCACAGCTTACTCTCTCACTTCTAGAAGTCCAAGTTAGGTTTTCATTTGCAGAACACTAGGGTTTTCCAATAGCTGAAGTATTAGCATGAGGTTTGGGAGCCACGATTTGAACTCATGTTCTGAACTACTACCCTCTCCATTTGCTTTTGACAGTCACTGCTTACACAGGTGTATGTTTCTGGTATTGGTATAAGCCTGCTGTGTAGGTAGGTTTGAAATAAAAGGCTTATTTTCCTTCAGTTTCTCTTCCCTGCATACAGGCAACAAAGGTCTTGAGGAATGGACTTGTTGCTGGCCATGCTTACACAGTAACTGGTATTAGAAAGGTAAGAATAGTCCTAATATCCTGGGTCATGACTTCTTTGGATTTCAGAATTTTTGTTACAAACTTTGGTTAAGCCCTCCCTCATGGCAGCCATGTTATCTTCTTAATATTCTCTTAGTCCAAGGTTAAAAGAGATGGGACTTGGTAAAGATTCACTTTCAAGTATGTCTGGTTTAATATGTGACCTTTACAATGGTTATAGATCAGCATATCTCTAAGAGTGGGAATGAGCCACAGGGCTTCACTGAGTGCATCACTTACAAATGGCATTTGTGTATGCTGGGAGGATGAGCTGAAACCTGCTCAGAGTAGAAGGCCTTCCTCTGCAGTCAGGACAGGACCCATAGAAGAGAAAAGGTAATTGAATACAAGGGCCAAAACATGGAAAACTAGAAAAGGAGATGTGCTTGAGAGAAGGGAACCAAACAGGGCTCCTGTACAGAGTAGCAGATGGACCCCACTGATTTGTGTAAGTGTTGTGGGGAATGCCCTGAAGATATCTGCCTAATAGAATGGGAGAGTAAAATAATAGATCCTAAGGAGCTCAGCTCAAGCTGAGTTCATGGCAGACTCCTCTTGTCCAGCTTCAAAAACAGATTGACAAGGATTTCCTGAGACTTCGGACAGTGGTATGGATGTGGGGAAGGCAATGTTTAGCATTTCTTCAATAGGTGCTTGGAAAGCTGTAAGAAAGGCTGGATGCTGCATGCCTGTGTCTCCCAGACAGAGCAGGAAAGTTTTAAGTACAAGGCTTCATTATTGATGTGTCTGTCAGTTTGGCTAGCTGTGCTCATGGGATGAAGGGACAGGCAGGAGTTGGAGACCAGCTGAGCTTGTTGGTATGAGCTGAAGTTCAGCCGTTCTGCTGTATGCTTCTATCTTAACTCCTAGTAAACCTGCCTCCCCTTTCTCCCACCACAGCATTTAAGTTCAAGAGGCAGTGCTCTGTATGGCCACCCCATAGGCGTAGTCTCCCATGGCACTGTGATAAGATTTAGCTTCACAGTAGTACAGTTCTGCTTCCACAAAACCACAAAATGAACAGATGTTGGAAAGGAGGATCAAGCCTCCAAATTAGGAACCTGTGAGGTCTCTGGTTTCACTTAGAAAAGATAAGACAAAGCATCTTACTTCATGCTTTCATTCAGAGTTGTATGTTTGTAGTTTTTATTATCATGCTTGTTAGGATCTGTGATATTAAAAAGATGACAACTGCTGAGATGTTGGCAAGCATAGTGTTGTTGTATGTTCTGCAGGTGACCTGCCAATATGGACCAGAAAACCTAGTGAGACTAAGAAATCCATGGGGGAAAATTGAATGGAATGGAGACTGGAGTGACAGGTGGGTTTGAAAAATGGAAGGTTTGATGCTCAATGTGAGGGAAAGTTTCTTAGAGGAAGGATGCTGCCATCTTCAGACTCAAATTAGGAGCTTTCAGGTCTATAGCTGTTGCTTGCCCAGGCCCTCTGGTTTCAAAACAATGATTTAAGAGATTTATGTTTGTCCAACAGTCAGTGCTTGTGTAGATGGCCTCACTTCACACGTGCAGCTTCAACATGCAGCTTCAATCATAGGACTTGATTCTGCTTTTCAATTCTTTGAAGTGCCAGAGGAAACATACTTGGAAATCAGATGCTGTGTGTGTTGCTGTGATCTAGATGGTGTGTAAAGTGACAGATTTTAGCTTAACAATTCAGGAGGCTTTAAACAGGATATTTAAGGGCGCTGAGCCCTTTATCACAAGTGGGACCAGGCCAAGACCTCCATGAGCTGCAAAGTGTTGGAGCTGGGTGACTGAAGGAGTCCGTCATCCTGGCTGCTTGGGGAAGCATGTAACTATTGAGGCAAATGGGCCATATATTTAATCTGCCTTGATTATTTTATGTGAAAGACGGTGGTTTATATTCCAGACCATGAGCAACCATAGACTTCTAGCCCGATTCTCTATGAATGAGAGTATGTTCCTTCTGTCCCAACTTTTTTTTTCATTTGCTGCACAAGCCCCATTTGCTGAGGCTTGGGGATGGGAAGAGGGGAGATGAGCACAGAGAGGTGTTGGGAATATGAGTGACTTTCACCTTGTCTGCAGAGCAGTACTTTCTCTGCGTGTCTGCCACATAATGACAACGTACCAGCTGTTGCTGGTGTGAGAGCATAATGAACAGCATACCATAGGCTTGCCTTTTAAATTACTCCCAGCTGCCTTTTTTGCTGTCCTTTTCACTCATCTGTTATGCCAAGCACTCTTCCTATTATGTCTCTTTTGACAGAAAATTAAACAGCAACACAGGTTTAGATATTTTTATTTTAACTACTACAAATCTGTGTGTGCAAGTGAATGGACCAGCTGATGGAAGTGGAGCCTTTCTACTGGAGAGAACTGGAATTGTTTAGCTATCTCATACACACTGTATACTTGTGGAGGGTCTGAAACAGCTGAAGGCATAGGGGGCCTGTGTTCAGCAAGGGTTAAACATGGAGATCTGTGGGGACAAGGGTTTTGGCATCCTTTTATAGAGGAGACCTGTATTTTCTGTATTGAATCTCAGGCTGCATTTGCTTAGTTATTCCATACTTTTTGCCCTCAGCTCTTACAAGTGGGAGTTGCTGAGCCCAAAGGAGAAAATTTTGCTGAGGAAAAAGAAGGAAGATGGAGAGTTCTGGTAACAGCTCTGTCTTGCCTATCCTCTCTCTGATGGTAGCTCAGGGGCTGCGTCTGCAGACAAAGCAGTGCTTTGTTTTTCTCCTTATGCCAGCTAATTCGTGGTATATGTGACCTGTTTTCTAACAGACCTGGATTGCTTGCTCTCCATCTCTGCTTGATTATGTGAGAGGCAGTGCTGTATTTAAGGCAGGAGTGAGGGAGAAGTGGGGCAGTGCCAGATCTCCTAAGGCTGCTGGGAGACACGGCGACTTTCAAGAGCTGTTGTCTTACCTCTTATTTTTGAGATAACTTTAGGAAGCTCCTGCTTGTTTTGCTTGTCGTTTCTCTACAGCTTGTGCCACGAGGTGGCAATGTTGTCACTCGTGTAATTTCACTGCGGTCCCTTTGGTGGCAATATTACTTCAGTCTCTGCCGCTGTGTTTTGCGTAAACTTGAGTCGTGCGTTTGCTACTGATAGATGCTGCTGTTGGAGCAGATGCTTGCTTCTTTACTACATAATAAAATTTGAGCATTACCATATGTAACACAGAATGGCGTGGCTTTGAAGTTCCCTGCACTCTTTCCTTTTCTTTTAGTGAGCCATATGGATTAAACTAAACTGCTGACAAGATGTCTTTTGGCACTCTTTTTCCCAGGATGTCTCTGCAAGATTTTAAGATTCATTTTGTAGACGTTGTGATCTGTAAATTAACTCCAGACCTGGTGAGCCAGGAAGATGGGAAAAAATGGATGTATTCCCTGAAGAATGGGAGATGGGTTAAAGGAAGCACAGCAGGAGGAAGTCTGGGATTCTCCAAGGGTGAGGGGTGCTTAGCGCTCTTTTGGGTGCTCTGTTGTGTGACTCTTCTTTGTTGACTCAATTATTAGCACCCTTATACTCCATAACACAAATTTGACAACAGAACGTTCTCTTATTTCTTAACTCACCACACGAGCATCAGAAATAAGCAGCTAAAGAACACTGTCTAGTTCCTGCCATCACAGAAGTTGCATTACTTGCGAATACAGGGCAGAAGGCTGGTTATGATATGAAATAAACTGCAGGAGTCTTAGGATGAGTTGCCAGTCAGCTTCTTTGGAGCATTAGACTTGTCTGTTAAAATTTGCTCTTTGGAGAGCATGAGGATGCAGTATTTTAAGTAAACTGATTAGGAGACACAGAGGCTTAGAAGCCTTCTGGAAGCAGGTTAGGTGGGTTCTGAAGTGAGTTATCCCATATATAGTATATGGTAGAGGAATAATCATACATTTATAAACAAAATAAATTTTAACAGCAGTTAGGCAGAAATGAAGCTCCTTGGTCCTGATCTTTCGTTCAGTCTTATAGGAATTTTACCACTAAACTTGTAAACTGCACCCTAAGATCAAAGCCCAGTGAATTCTGGAGGCCCAGACAACTTGGGATTCATTCAGTCTGAGCACAGGCATCAAATGGGAAGCTAGCAATCAATCTTGAGGTGGAAAATAATGTCTAAGTGTTTTTCTTTTTTACTTCTTAGGCATGTTTTGGATGAACCCCCAGTACTGGTTGAATATTTTAGCCAGTGAAGACAGTAAGAGAAACCTGGGCTCCTGCAATGTGGTTATATCCCTGATGCAGAAACACAGTAGCAAACACCGGAACCGAGCTCCTCACCTCTTCATTGGCTTTTCACTCTACAAGGTGTGAATTATAGTAGGTTCCCTATATATCCAGGAATAAGTAGCTGTCAGTAGGAGGAGTGAGAGCTTCCCCAACCAATTCTCTGCTCATCTGAGGGTCTTGCAGAACCCCCATCTTACTTTGAATGGAGCTAGAAGTTTTGTTGCTGCTATGAGGTTGAAGTTGTTGACCAGCTGCACCTGCATAGCTGCTCCCCACCACAGATACAGGCTTGCTGTACGTGTGACTAAGAGGTCCCTGTCTGACACATCCTCTGTTTATTTTCTCCCTGCAGGTGACCCTACAGGTGAGTGCTTTGTCACCTCTACTGGATGTTTGCTGAGAGACCTGTTCTGACAGCATTGAAGGTGTTGTGTTTGCCTTTGTTTTTTTTGGCCGACAGCTAGTGGCAGTGTATTCAAGCTCACTGGGGTGTTACAGTAAGTCACTATTAATGCAGAACCCTACTCTTCTGAAGAGTAGCCACGTCAGGAGGTCTCAGTGGTCTTGAAAAAGGTCATTAGTTGCTTAGCATCTGCACTAGGTCTTTGAAGGTGTTGAAAGTGGCATCGGCGTTTATTGGATTAGCAGTATTCCTCTCACCACTGTGGGCTGTTATTCAAGTCCTTAGCTGTGTTTGAGCTGGGCTTGCTGCAACTCTCAGAGGAGGCAGTATCACCTTTATTCTGCCTCCCAGTCTTGAGGCAGGAGCTGAGCCTGTATCCCATGTAGGCCAGGGATCTTGTAGGATAGCTCAGCTTCCTTCCTACCTGAGGATGTTCTGGAGCTGACGCTGCAGGTGTTTGCTGCTTTGTCCTGCCATATTTCCAGTATTTTCTCTTAAAAGGACCTTTTTTGATCTAAGAAAAAGTTCTGGAAGGTAAACTCTGTTGTATGTCCCAGTTTTTAACCAAATCTCAGAGGATTATTCACAACAGAAAGGTCTAATGTCTTTTATCTTGAAAGGGCACACTTTCCCTTAAATTACTACTCAGAATACCACTTAAGTTAGAATTTCTTTGAGTTTGAGCTGGCAAAGTACTAGTTGGGCTACGATCAGAGCAGTGCAGTTGTATTCCAAGTTACTCTATTTCTAGCATGGTAATCATGAGGTAAGAATCCACTCCTTTCTGACTTAAATGTTTTGGGCACTCTCAGGGTTACAAATGAATTAAATTTCCTGGCAGAGGGAGCCTGAGCACAGCTCTAGCATGCTGCTGTGCTGTACCCGAGGGGAGCTGGTGGCAGCCAGGTGTTTAATTTCAAATTTGTAGTGGTTGGTAAGATCAATATAGAGAGACTGCAAACTGAGAGCATCTAAGGACACTCCAAGGAACATTGTGAATTCTGGAGCACGTCTGAAATGCTTGTATGCCAGTGCATGCAGGAGGCAGTGGATGCTTCAGTCCTTTCCCGGGGCTATGATATGGTTGGTATCAGTGAGACTTAGTGGGCTGAGTCCCACATCTCAAGTGCTGAGTGGGAGGGCTACCAGCTCTTCAGTAGGGTAGGCAGGGCAGAAGAGGTGGTGATGTTGCTCTGTATATAAGGGAGAGATTAGGCATACAGCCCATGCCTTTGGGATGACATGGTAGAGAGTCTTTGGGTGAGGATGAAGGGGATGGATGGCAAAGCCGTTATCATTGTGGATGTCCACTACTGTACACTCACCCAGGGTGGTGGCATGAATGAGCCGTTCTATAGACAAGTAGGGGAAATCTTGGAATCAATTGCCCGTGTCCTTACGGGAGACTTGAACTTCCCAGACATAAACTGAGACTATTGTGACCAGCGAGTCTGGGAAATTCCTAAGAACATGTTGAAAATAAGTTATTTTTACAAATTATGAGTGAGCCAGCTAGGAAAGGTGTCCTGTGAAATCCGTTGCTTGAGAATAGGGAAGGCCTTGTAGGAGAGGTGACAGTAGGTGGCTGTCTTGGCCACAGTGATCGTGAATTAGTTGAGTTCAAAATTGTAGGTACTGGCTGTGGAAGAGGAATGGCATCTCCATTACTAGGTGGGGAATAAAATGGCTAAATGTAAAGAACAGCCAAGACTGGAAGAGGACAGTGGTCTTTGCTGGTGGGGATATTTACTTGGCATTCCACTAGGCCCCCAGTGTTATTAATCTCATTTATAATGTTGCTTAAATAAATACTTCATCCATCCTTCTTTTGTAGAAAAGTGCCTGAGGAGTGAAACATCTGTAGGAGCCAAGAATGACAAGTAGTTCGTTGACACAGGCTAGGGATTAGGTTGCTCTTGCACTACATTCAGATCCCAAGTGCTCTGCTACTAGATACCTAGTGCAAAGAACAAACTGAGCACAGAGTGCATGGTACTTAGGAGATAAGGGGAGCGCTCTGGATTGTGAGGAGCAGTCTCTAGAGCATTTCCTGCCTGCAGTCTTTTCTGCCAGTATGCAAATTACTTCAGCAGTAACTTAAAGTGGCAGAAGCCACATCTTTTCCCAGTCCTTGCTCTGTTCCTTGCAAGCAGTATTATAATGTTGATAAGCTTGGAGGAAGCTCCATTCTTTGTCATTTTAACATTGGGCAGGTTAGATGGAGATAGTCTGATGGACCCTCTTAGCTGCTTTTGCTGTAGAGATATCTGAGATCTGAAGGCAAGCAGCCTCTGTGCCATGCCCTTGAATTCCTTGTGTGTCTTTTGTTCCATTGTTCAGCTGGTACAGAACACATTTAGTCTGTATTTCTTCCCTAGCAAGAGGAAATCAATCAAAAGCTGTCTCCAGCATTCTTCACCCGGCACCAGCCTGTGAACAAGCGCCAGGTGTTCCTTGATGAACGGGAAGTGACTTGTGACTTCCACCTGGAGCCTGGTGTCTATGTGATTGTGCCATCCACTCTGGAGCCTCAGCAGGAGTCTGAATTCATTCTACGTGTCTTTTCCAGGAAGCACGTCCTTCGGTGAGATGCTGCTGCCCCTCTGTCAGCACCCAGTTCTCTTGCATGGTGGGACAATCTAGACTTTCTAGCCTAGTGGGGCATCAGAAGGACTGAAGCATGCAGCACAGTGCCTCTTGGAGAGCCTGATTCTCTCCCAGCTCAGTGCCTGAAGTATTGCTTTTTGGTCTTGTCCTTTTGAGAAGCATTGAGCTAAGCCCACAGAAATGATTCTTAAAGCATGTTTAAGTTTATGTTTAAGAGTGGAGAAGCACAACACTTAAATGCACTGTAGATTTGCCAGAGGTCTCTGCTCATAGTGCTGGAGGTGTTGTATCCTGCTTTGGAGACTTTGAATGCCAACAGCCACTGGAGAGCCATATAGGCATGGTGGGCTTACTCTAGTGCAGCTGTAACACTGGAGAAAATACATATGGCACAGCAGTGGCATGGGGTCTGTAGCTGGGGGTGGGGAATGCCACTTGTGATCAAGACAAACAACTCTGCAATGTCTCCTTAATGTCTTCTCTTTCACATCCCCAGGGAAATGGGTGGGAACACCAGTTTCATCCTCTCCAAGGTGAGTGGATATAGGGGGAGTAGAAGGACCATGGTTTCAGCTCTTGGATGTTTGTTTTTTCCTGTCTCTGAACTATGAAAAGGGAGAGTGAGAATGTAAGTGTTCATGTTGCAGCACTGTACAAATTGTGGCTTGGGTTTACGGGCGGATTCTTGGACCTTGTGAACAATCAAGGCAAATTTTTAGACACCATTTTAGTTGCTGTTTCACAGCTGTTCTTTTTTTCTTTCATTGACACAATCTTACTCTACAGTCTTTCCTGTTCACAGCTTTTGGAAAACTTCTTGTATTCCTCCCCACTTCTTTCATGCCTTGACAGGCTTGAAGACATTGTGGAATCAGAATGTGATCCCCCTATCACAATACAGTGATGCATAGGTTGTTTTAAGAAGAGCTAGTCTCAGTGGCCATATATGTGTGACTGTATTTTGAGCTGGGAGGGTTTATAGCATATTCCATTCCCTTGGCATAAACAGGGCCATTCCTTCTTTTGTCCCTTCCATTCTCCTAAATGTATATATTCTCTCCTTGGCAGGGATTGAACTCTACCCTTTTTCTTCTTTCACAGCTTGGAGTGGAAGAGAAATGTTTTTCTACACTGTTATCTGAAATTTTATTTCCAAGAATTAGTATTTCTATGGGTATGAGTTGCATTAGTGATGTAACACTGATTGCAATGGTGAGGGGAAGATGAGAAACATGGGAGGAGAGCAGAGTTCTGGAAAAGCATCTTCAAATAACTATATCTTGAATGGCCACGTTTTTCTTCCTTAAGTGCTTTTATTTAATTTATTTATTTTATTTAATGTCCTGAAGGAAATTGTTGATAGGTATGAAGGCAAGATCTGGGAGGATTTCTTCACAAAACATTTTGAACAGGTAGGTGAGTGCATGCACCACCAGGGGAAGCAGAGTTACTATGTAGTTCTGTGATAGCAAAAACATCTAACTGTGCAAGGCATGTTTGGATATAGAAGCATGGGGGACAGAGAGAGGCTATGAAGGCTGGGCTACTATGTATACAGTGCTGATTTCAAGCAGCAGTTTTGACCACAAAGCTTTAGGAATATGTTAACACTGAGACAGGCAAACTCCTGGAACTTACTGCTATGGGACACTGTGGATGTGACAGTATCAACATGCTCCAAAGGCATTAGCAAACTGATGGAAAGCAGATCCATAAACAGATACTGAAGGACTAAGCATGTATGTGCCCTCTAACATCTTTATTTCAACAGCCATGGGTGCCAGAGAAATGAGAATAGAGTGTGGATGCTGATCAGACTTGCATGCTCTCCTTAAGCATAAACTCCTGTCCCCAGTATCAGGGACAGAACAGTGGGATGCGTTACAGTAATCCTACCGTATTGGGAATTTCTGCTCTCACTGGGGCAAGTCAGTTGTTAGAAGACAACACACCCTGAGAAACCGAGACATGTTCCTACTCCTTCATCCCACGTTGATAGCAGCAACCATGCTTTTAGAGCAGAAATACAGTTCTCCTTTCAGAAGGGGTGGCTACGTTTATTCGGTAGCATACCCTGCATTTAGCAAGCACATTTTCTCCAAAACATATTAGGGTTTCTGTTAGCAATATTTTGACAGGAGCTTTTCCTGACAAGAAGCAAATGCTTTTGCTTCTTGAACATGTAGAATTTTGATTCTGAGAGTGGTGTGGCTTTCAGATGTGCCCTGAGAACTTAGCCAGGAGCAGACTGCAGCTCCTGCAGGCTGAGAATCTTGTCGTATTCAAAGGAAGCCTTTCCTATTGATTTTCACAGTGACGGGAGCGGGGCCAGAAAATTGGGATTTAAGATGAGACATGCTGGGAAGACAAAAGAGGGAGAAAAGAGATTTAGTGATTAAAGTAATTCTCTTTTGTATCACAGAATCCTGAAATAAATGCTGTTCAGCTCCAGAGGATCCTGAATAATGTATCTTGGAGACGTAAGTGCTGAGAAATAATATTTCTGTGAAGCAAACCTTTCTAGAGAAAATCTTCAGCTTCAGTATCTGAAAATGAAGATATTGTGAGCAGACTCAAACTCTGAATCTGATCTCTAAACCCAACATGACCTCAGTACTGATTCTGAAACCATCTCGTTTCATCCTGTGCTACCACAGTGTTGGCAGTGCCTCTGCTAGAAAGTGAGCCTGCAGCAGTAGGCAGCCATACAGTGCAAGGGAATTTATCTTTATCCTGATGGACATAGTTTATATCTGCTGTTCCTACGCTTGCTTACTTTCTGTGTGTGCACAGGACTGTTCCTTGCTGTGTCTTTGTGTTTGGGACACAGATAGCCTGTCTTACTCGTGTTTGGGGCTGTCTTTGTCCTGAGGTCTGTGACACCTGCTCTGTGCCGGTAGCAGGTCAGCAGTGGCTGCTTCCCCTGAGCAACAGTAATGGTGTTACAGATACAGTGATGGATCCAGTTTCCTTTCCCAGTTTCTTCAGTGGTACCAACCCATGCACAACACAAAAATACACCATTCAGCCATTATGGGCAGCAAGATGAATAAGAGTCTGATGTGGTGACAATTTGTGGTGACTTAGATCTGCCCTCTTTTCTGCAGAGGTATACTAAGATAGCTCTTCTGTCTTGGCAAAGTGACCCATCAGGCCCTGCCTTATCCGTGAGAAGACTGTGTTGAACAGTCTATTTTTTGTGTGTGATCAAGGTTAAGACATGAAAAATGTTACAGTACTTGATTCATATTTAATAAACAGGGATATTAACAAGATTAAAACATCTTCACTTTCTGCAGAGAAGGCACTGGTGAGTTGTGGTTCTGTCTCTTGCTCTTGGAAGTCTGCATATGATATAAAGTCACAATTTGGAGTGAGATTAGAGTCTCTTTCTGCTACTCTTCATTTAATTTATGTGTGAACCAGGAATGCTAAGCTTAGATGCAGTGTCATGTTTTTTGGTGATGTCTGTACTTTTAATCATATTAACAGAGCTGGCAGTGCCTCTGAAAGAGAGGGAAGGAAGGATGCTTAGCATGAGGCAGGGAGAGCAAGAGAGAGATGTTTAGTGCAAGGGCTTCAATTAATGTGCAGTACAACTCCCAGAGCTCTTCAGGTCAATGGCTTTACTCGTGATCCTGCAGTTTGGCATTACAGGTTTGGAAGTCCTTTCTTTAATACTGGAGACAGCGTGCTATGTTTTACTTTGCATTACATGCCTGCAGGGAGCTCACGTTGGGTTTTGTGAGACTAGTAGAATCCATCCTGCTGCATCGTATTTTAATCATCATAAATGATGTGTCTTCTCAAGCAGCTGAGAAGTTACACAAGGGCTTTGGGGCCCGAGCCATCTCAAATGAGAACAAATTTTGTCAGAGTCCATTTTCCTTAGTGATATTCAATGCGCTCTCAAAACAGTCTTTTTTTTATCCTCTCCAGATTTTTGGAGTTTTCACCTGAATTTCAGTCTGGACGCCTGCCAGAGTATCCTGGCACTCCTGGATGTATCCTCCTTAGCATGAATGATACTTCTGGCTTATTTAATACTCACTGGAGCATTATGTCTTAGGGCAGATTTACTGTCACTTTGGTTTCTTAATGACTGGAACATGGCCATGCTTTTTGAACTTCTCATCTTCCATAATAACACTTCAGTTGTAGCAGAATGGGATAGGTTTGAGAAAGGGTTATTTCCTGCAGCTTCTGATATCAGCAGCCAGGCTTCCATTGATTGTAGTGGGAGGAGAATCAAGCCTATGAGCTAAAGTTTGTTGGCTAAGAAGTCGTTATCTTCTTCATATTAGAACTGTCTATGAATTTTCAGTCAGTGTTCTTTTTCTTATTTTGTATTATTATTTGTATTTAGTTTTATGTAATGTACATTCTCTCATGTTTAAGATATTCTGACCTTAATTACTCCATGAAGCTGAATGCCACTGGCACGCTGAGTATCCAGGAGTTCCGAGTCCTGTGGAAAAGGCTGCTTTTCTACATGGTATAGCAATCATTTCTGTGTACCACTGAAATATTCTTCTACTCACAGTGCCTTTGTTGTCCTCTGCTGTTGTTTAAATATTTGGCTTTTGTTTGTTTTCTTGTTTCCACCAGGAGGTTTTCCAGAAAAGAGACACTAGCAGATCAGGAAAGCTGGACCTGGTAGAACTGCGTGCAGCTGTACAGGAGACAGGTGTGTGCCACAGCACATCTTGGTGAGGCTCATCCTCTTCCTCAAAAAGGGAAAAATTTGAGCAGGAAAAAATCTGGACTTGTTGGCAGAGCCCAGAGGGAGTGGGAATTATCATAGGCTGCATGGTCTTAGCCATCTCTGCTTCCCTTTTTAGCTAGGTAAAAATATCTGACAAGTATTTTGCTGTGTGGTAGACTGCTTAATCTTTGCCTTTATCTTTGGCATTGTACTGATGACATGTCAGGGACTGAATCTGGAAGTCTGGGACTTGCACAGAGGCAATACCAGTGCCAAGCTTCACTAATACACCATCTTGAGCTTAAAATAGAACTGAAGAACATACACAAAGGTTCACATACTTTGAGTGGGGATTGGCGCTCACTCTTTTACCTCCTTTTGCAGTTTTAGAGCTTAAATGTCACTCATCTTTTTGACGTGTGGCTCACCCTGTTCATCTGTGTCAACGAAAGCACAGTTAAAAAACCCATACAGACCTCTACTAAAGCAAATTAAACTACCAGGCCACAAGTAGGAAATATTCCTAGCAAATTCCCTGCAAATGCTGCTTGACATGCTTTCTTTATCAGCTTCCTCTGGATTTTCTTTTTCATTGCCTCTCCTACCCTCTTAAACGCAGCTGCTTTTACTGCCTTCCATTCACTCATGAGTGAATGTTGCCCGTTTGTGTTTTATTACAGCTCTAACAGGAACAGGAGTATAGGTGACCAGATTTGACCCCGTTAGAGTTTGAAAGAGCTGTCTGTACCTGAGGGGTTGGTTTGGGCTCGTTAGCACTTGATAAACGTAGGGGAGGTTTGAAAAAGCAAATGACTGGGAAAGGGACTGAGATCAATGAGTCATGTACACCCAGAAGCATGCACATTTAGCTGCCCACAACTGGGAGTTGCCCTCTCGTAATGCTTTTCATGTTTTTATTATTTTTCCCCCTCTCCTGCAGGCATTTCACTCAGCAATGAAGTCTGTAATTTGATGGCAATCAGATATGGTGACCCTGACTTGAAGATCAGCTTTGAGAGCTTCATGTGTTTCATGCTTCGAGTAGAGATCATGGGAGGTGAGGCTCATGCTATGCAACTGGCCAGGGAAAGCTCTGCTGCCCAGCTAAGCCCTGGCCCTTCCAAAACTGTTCCAGCTGGCAGAACCTAAGTGAAAATAGAAGGGTTGGGTTTCTTCTCAGAATACATGGAGGAATTAGTTTAAAGCAAGGGACAGAGGAAATTGAGCTCTATACTTTTTTGCCAGTCTTTTTCTACAGAAATCAAGACTGTATGTGTCAGAGTGGTTTAGCTCCCTGCAGAGAGCAGCTCTGCACCAGTCTCTGTAGGAGGCAGGAAAATTACAGATGGAAGCTGCTTATTTTCCATATACCTTTGGTTGGACTAATTGTGGTGGTGAGACAGGTGATACTTTTGTCTGTGAGCTCATGCTATGGACACCTCCCATGTGTCTGAAACTGGAGCTTGTGAGGCTTAGGACATTGTGCTTTTGGAAATACAACAGCAGCTTCTGAAGAGACAAGTAGATGGACAGAAAGTAAAGTGCCTGTCTTTATTCAGGATTCCTGGTGTTCCAGTGCTCAGGACCTTCCAGTGAGAATGGGGGCTTACGTTCATTTGTGGATAGATTATAAACTCATTCTTATCAAGTCTTTCCTAGGACAAGGGGTCACAGGTAGTGCTGATCTCTTGGCTGTCAGGTTAATGCTCCTCACTTCCTTTCTTCACAGAGGCCTTTCGCAACTTAACACAAGATGGTAAAGGGATATACCTGCGGGAATCTGAGGTAAAGCCTGTTCCTGATTGACAAATGCAGCTTCTTTCATTGCAAGCAGCACTGTATGGTTTGTTCTCCAGCCTTGAAAAAGGTATCTCTATCTGATCACTTAAAGAGTAGGTTAGAAACAAAAAGGAACACAGGCTCTTAAGTCCTGTGCCTCCCTGTGGCTTCTACTCCTTCTAAAGACAAAAAAGAAAAAAAAAAAACAAAAAAAACCCTCCAATATTCTATAGTTTGGTTCAGTTCTGGATATCACAGGGCACTCTTAGGAATGGGTGAGTTTATCCTACTTTCCTCATTATTTTACAGTGGATGATGATGACACTGTATTCTTGAAGGAGTGCTGCAAAGGAGGGGACAGCAAGACCTGTACTGCAATACGGAAGGCTGCTTTCTATCAACTTGCTGCGTACGTTGGAATCTGGGCTCTTCCCTGCAGTTTATCTCATAAGAAGTCTTCCCCCTCAAGCAGACTTGACCTACCAACCACAGACTTGTTGCACTGCTATTTTTCTAACGAATAAGTTTGTTTTGAGTCCTATTGCACTTCAGCCAACCCTTCCGAGAAGAAACTGCTGGATGCCAACCACTGTGGGTGCGCCATGGAGCATAGTGAGCCATGGAGCATCATGGCTGAGTTCTAGGAATTACCTATTTAATGCTAATGTTACTCTGTTACTGTTATAATTTGACTCTTGCTGTGACAGTATCCAAAGGCTGTGCTTGATGATGGAGCTTTATTGGGGCAATTAACTCTGAATCTAGGAAAGAAACAGCCCCTGCCTGAAGTGTCTTGTCATCTAATAGAGAAAATCCAAATTCTGTAGTTGCTTGGCCCATGATAGAGAGCTGGAGTCTATGTGCTTGTCAGGGCAAGGGGTTGGCCACTCTTCCTCGGCCATGACTTGGAAAGATCATTTGCAAACATTCAGACCATATCCTTTCCTTTCATGCATCAGCATAGCTCTACTGAAGTGAACCTAAGGTGATCTGACCAGTTTGTGGACCAAGCCTTTAGCTCTTAGTTGAGATGGAGCTTGTGATGCTTGCAGATTTAGTTCAGAGCAAGGGGTTCTTTCCATGAGTTGGAAGGCACAGTACAGTGAGAAATAAATGTATTCAATGTTATCTTTAAATCACTGGAGACTGGCAGGGAATAGATGTTCACTGTAGCATAATACAGGAGCAGTCTGGCAAAGAGACTGGTAAACCATTTGGATGTTTGTTGTTTTTTTTTTTGTGAAGCAGAATGATAGAATGTTTATGCATGAGTCATTAAGTGATTCAGGAACATACAGGCTGTAGTGTTAGAGAACATACTTGAGGCTATTCCCACCAAACTGTGTTGGAGTTGTTGCATCTCTATGTAGGACCCTTCTTCATTTTCTTACCATTTAGTTTTTTGGCTTGCAAATTTCCACACTAAGTGCTTGTTACAGGTTGCTGCTTTGGCTTTTGCATTCCAGTGGACAGCACAATTGCTCTTTCTCTTGTGCACAGTCTCCTTAGACCAATGAATGCAACAGGGCTCCAGCAGGAATGACTATATAATGGAAGAAGATACTGTAGTGCCTTTGTAGGAAGGAGTTGTAACAAGTTTGCATAGGCTTATGCCTATACATGAGCCTGAGCTCAGGGATGTGCTTCCTACTCCACTGAGGCCTCTGCAACAAGTGTATTTAGAGAGAAACTCCATTGTGTACATGTTCTCAATCAGGAGGCATTAAACAGCACAAACAACAGTGTGCTCTTTATTCACCAGAACAACCTGTTCCTACGAGTATTATTTTCATGCTCTTTTTGTGAGAAAACTGTTAGAACCAGAAAAATAGCTGTATTTTTTGCTGTTTATAACATGACGTATTTATCAGTTATTGTGCTGTGTTATTGTGTGTCACTGGAGCTCAAGGGTTCAGAACTGTGGGCATAACAAGTCAAAAGGAGCAGGGACATCCAGGATCCTTAAGCAGATGTCATGGTGCTGTCATCCTGCCAGGCTCCCAGAGAGACTATTTCAGCTGCCCCCGTTACAAAGCACGTGCCCTCTCCCAGTTGCCATGCCTCTGCTCCCTTTTGTGACTTGCAGCTGAACACAATGGAGCAAACTAAATAAGCCTGGTTTAATTTGCACTCAACTCAGTGGGTGATGTTATAAACACTGATTTACTGCATGTAGGAACAGCACTAGAAGAGCTAAAAAGGTTGTAGGAGAGAATGTAGGTCTTGCTCTTTCGGCGTGCCCTGAAGGAGATGGTCCCAAAGAGAGTGGCCCTAGGCTGATGTGAGCATCAGTGTGCAGAGTTCTCAGCAGTGCTCTGCTGGACGTGACAAGAAGCAAATCTGTCAGTCCCAGCTGGGTTTGCTACACAGTGCCTGTTGGCAGTGCTGCAGGAAGCATTCAAGGCCAGAAGGATGCTGGACAAAGCTTTAGTAGCCACTGCCCCCAGCCTTGTGCAGAACTGTGGTGCAGGACCCCCAGTTCAACATGGCAGTTAATTTCAATTCTGTACACATTGTTTTGTGTATATATATATATATACACATATATATATATATAAAAAAGATTTCGTACTTATTTGCTTCATACCTATTTAATGCAGAGCAAGGAGATTATTTTGCTATTGATTACTTGATCCGGGAAAGAAGCAGAATTTGTGCCATGCCATGAATCACCAAGCACTTGCAGCAATAAACTTTATTGAGCCACGTGACTTGCTGTTACAGAATTATAAAGAATGCTTTACTGGAATGATTATACCAAACCATGTACGATTCAAACTGAATTATCTGGCTCACAATAAAAATGTTTTTTTGGCAATGGCACCTACTCAGACACTGTGAGGCTTTTATATTGCTAACAGAGTAACGTTTGCTGGGCAATTCTGAAGATATATTACTCTTCATTTACAATGTGCGTTGTAGGAAAGAGTGGTTTAAAAGGCTGCTGAAGGATGCATTCGTTTGTAACCACTGTATTTATAGAGATGCTGAGCTATGCAGTGGGCAGCATTCCTCGAGCAGAAATAGAAGAAAAGTGAGGCTGTGACTTGGGACTGGTATTGCTAATGGAGGCTTTTTGGCGGGGGAAAGACAGGAGCAAATAACAGGAATAGCAAACAATGGCTGGAGTGCAATGAGGAGCTGGATAACAAGGCATCCTGCAACAGTAAGACTGATGTGAAATTGGAGAGAACTCTGCAAACAAAATACTCAAGAGCAGGATACACACTGCTGCATACAGCAGAGGTTTCCTGGATGAACTTGGTGCAGTTGGGGCTGGGACTGGTCATCCTCACTGCACATGTCCTGCATTTTTAGGACTTAAAACAGGTGAACACTGAGAGCTGTGTGATGAGCCTGGCTGAAGTTACTGTAAAATGTGGCCTCAGTGGAAAACTGTGGCAGAGACCTGACATTTAACTTCAGGGAAAACAGAGACCATCCTGAATCAAAGCCACTGCCACATCCACGTGTTCACCTCCTCTGCTGTCCTGCACCTTTACCAGGAGGCTGAATTAATGTAATAGGATTCCAAGTCCTAAACACAAGGTCTCTTATTTTTCTGTGAGTTTTTCAGGCTGTTTTTAGGCTTTTCATCCAAGCAGGTAGGGCTGGAAGACTTATCTCACCCCTGTGGAAGGGGTTAAAGGCAGGAGTCCCTTACAGGTATGATGCTTACATCCTGACTCGGGACATGAGTGATGTGCTACAATACCCTTGGTTACTATTTAAATTGTTATGGTCCTCCCCATAGCCACCCTTTTCCCATACCCACACACCCCATGACAGTCTTCCTCAAAAATAGTTGAAATATTGTACTGAGAGAGGGAAAAATATATGTTGGATTTTTTTTTATTATTATTTTTTCCTCTGGTCCTCACAGAATGAAATGCTGATGATTGCCTTTACCTTTCCTTCTTGCTGTGTCTTACACTGGATTAGACCTGAAAAGCTGTATCACCAAGCTTGAAGTTCAATTTATCAGTGCAGTCAGGATTGATTTGTTACAGTACCTATTCTGGGGAAACAAATGTCTCCATCGCTCTCCTTTCCAATCCAGGCAGACCTTTGTTTTGCTCAGATCAGCTATGTAATGTAAGAAGCTGATGTTCCATAGATAAAGGCAAAAAGCCCTGCAGAATCCTGACTAATCCTGCTGTATAACCAAGATATTATAATCACAATATAATTGTGTATAATCAATAGATATCAAGATGTTATAATTGCAATATAACCAAGAGAGTAAGGCAAAGCAGACAACAATAACAAAAAGAGAATAAGTGGAAGAGCTTACCCTTCAGTTGAGCTCACCAAAAGACACCAAAAGAGGGGATCTCCAGCAGAGATCCTTCCCCTCTGGTAGCCAGCTCTTAAATAGGTCCAGGAGAGGTGCAGCCTGGCTCCACCCCTTCCAGCAGCACAGGTGAATTGCCTTCACCTGTGCTCCTCTGGCTGACTCATGGCTCGCCTCAGGTGATTAATCACAGGTTCAGGCCGTGACTCTGCAGTTCCCATTCTCCTGCCCAGCCTGGCAGTGCCAGAGACTGGTACTGCTTGCAAAGTGCTCGCTTGTCGTGTTGGTGGCTGCAGATATTGGGCAGAATGAGTGCTCTTATTTCCCTGCTTTGTTGTTGTTGTTGTTGAACAAGTGGTAGAAAGTCATAGAAATGATTCTTGGGTGAATTACATGTCCCTTTCATCACTAATAATGCTGTAACCAGACAGTCAGCTTTGTCCTTGGAGCCCAATTTCCAGAGTCACAGTGAAGACAGAGGGTTTTTGTACAAATTTTCAGCTGCTTTGTGAGACAATGGAAACAGACTTTGCTGCAACTATTGAGGTTAATAAGTTTTTCAACAGGAATTTGCTTCTGTAATCTAGCACAGGAACTCTCAATTAAAAGAGCATGTAGTTAAAAACTCGCTTTTCTCCCCAAACTCGCTGGGATGGAATATTTGGAGCTAACCATATAGAAGTGTGAGAATTACATTTTCAGGTTCAAAAGACCCAGAAGGTGATCAATAGGAAGAGTCATGTTTGAGCTGGACCTCGTTTTTCCTTTTCATGTGTTATGTTTGTGTCACGTTGAGGAAGGGTTAACGCTGAGCAGTCCTGCAGATGTGCTGTGAGAACAGTGTCTACTGCTGGTGCTCATTCTGTGAGACAAAATGAAAGAAGTCATTGCTCTGAAGGAGCTTTATTTCCTCAGGTAAAAGCAGGATTTCTTTCTCAAAATATGCTGCAGCTAGACTCGAAGCACTCACTGCCTGAAAGCAGCTCTGCTCTCAGCAGCTGAAGCTCACAGGTGAGAAATGGGGCATATGCAGCTCTGCCTTGGAGGCTGGCAGCTGTGAAGCTGCTTGTTGTCTAGGCTGAGGCTGTGAAAGACTCTTCCCTCTGAGTTTGCATGGATTTGGGGAATGAGGCTGTGTCTGGGTTAGGCTCCTGACCAGCCTCCCTCTTCCTGCTGCTGCCTTCTAAACCAAAGTGCGATCTAGGAATTCAGCTCTCAGAATCAAAAGGCTGCAGCCCTTTGGGTGTGAGATTTTACGTTGTCTCCTTCTCTGTAACTTGACAAGATGTATTGTCATTAAGTTTCTTTTAAAAGGAAAAAGAGAACGAGCTCAAAGTCGCACACTTTCTACCTGAAGTAACCCTGAGCATGTTGGGAGCAGCGTGACCTGAGGGATTCCCCATTCCTGAGCATTGCTGACAACTCGATTTCTGCGTCAGGACACCTTTCTGCCCCTGGCAGGGCACATTGCAGAAGCAAGGCTGGATCAGTGTTTTCAAATGTTCAACTTTCCAGCACTTTAAATTGCTGAGTTTTGCAGAGCTTTAATTGCATCAAATGCAAAAAGAATGGGACACTATATCAAATTAACACGTAGCTAAGCACATAAAGAATGTAGGGGCTGAATTAACAGAAGGTAATTCATATACTGCAAGTGTAAATTGCTGAGTGCAGCGGAAGGAGTCCCTGTTTCTTCTTCATCTTGTTTCTTAATGGTGAGCAGTGCCTGGAAATATAAAATTGTAGAAGTGTAGTGGGCTGTGTCCAGGGTCAGCAACCACCAGACCAGACTGCCCAGAGCCACATCCAGCCTGGCCTTGAATGCCTCCAGGGATGGGGCATCCACAGCCTCCTTGGGCAACCTGTTCCAGTGCATCACCACCCTCTGTGTGAAAAACTTCCTCCTAATACCTAACCTAAGCCTCCCCTGTCTCAGTTTAAGACCATTCCCCCTCATCCTATCACTACCCACCTCATAGAAACCCAGTTGTCACTGGAGGTCTTACCGTGGGGTAAATCTACAACAAATGAATTATTTGAAGCAAATAGAAGCAACGAGTCCTCGTGTGGCCCCACAGTGCTGCCTGCTCGTGGAAGCTGGGATCAACTGGGGATGTTTCCCTTGGCTTACAAGAAGAGCTGAGCTGCTCCCTCCTGGGGCCTGTCCTGGTAAGAGGTCCTCCATGCCCCTGTGGGGAGGGACTGAGGAGAGCTCATGTGCTCCAGCAAAATGAAGTGATGAGAAAAACAAAGCTATACCTGCTAGAAAAATGTGATAAGGCCAAAGACAGAGGGCATGAGGAGCAGGCAAGAGTGAGCTGTTACATGCACCCGTGTTCTAGGTCTTTAGGCAAGGCTTGATCTTTTCTGTAAACAAATAACGCACTTATTTACATGAATAATCCCCATTTCTCATGCAAATGATTTCCCTACTGCCACTTCTGCCGCGAATAATTTTCAGCATAATTACCACATTTATGTAGTGAACGTGCATTCACAGGGTAGCGATCTGTCCGTGGATGCTCCTCACCAG